TATTATATATCAGGAATAGTTGCATAACCTTCCGGTATAGTAAAAAGATGAGCTTGTTCTTCTTCAAAACTATTATTATAAGAAGAATTTATATTATTGCTTTCACTTTCATAACTTGGAGGTAAATATAAAGCATCTTCTAGTAATAAAAAAACACCTATTATTTCATCCTTTTTTTATTTTTATTTTTATTTTATTTTTTAAAAATATATATATATACATCATCTTTAATAATTTATTAAATAGTAGAATTTTTATCAATGAAAATTTATTAATCTTAAACTAAATAATATAAATAATGGTTGTTTTTATAAATAGTGGTATTTTCAATAGGAATATGGTATTTTTCTTCTATATAGTCAAAAGCTAAATTAATGATAAATTTTCCTGTATAATTTGATTTTAATTTTAAAGGAATTTACATTAGAGGCGAATTTTTATAGATTTTGACTTAAATAATTATATCGAATTCTTTGTTTTTATTTTTAATTTTTGATAAATATAATTCTGTAATACTTTTTTGATTATTTTATTAATTCTCAATATTCTAATAAGTCATTTTTTATAATAAATTTTCTTTTTCTATAAATGAAGGGATTGATTTTAACATTCCGCTTTTTTGAAATTCTTCTTCTTGTAAAGAAATAGAGAATTTTTCGTTTTTATTTAAAAAAACAGGATATTTATTGTAAAAGAAACTATCATTTATTGAACTTGTGTCTTAAATTTGAAATTATTTTTAACTAATTTATTTCTTTCTGTATTAGTCTTTTTATAAAATAACCCATTAATTTCTTTAAAAAGTATCGTTATAATATTTAATTTTATTGCTGAAAGGATTTTCAGTATTAGTATTAGTATTTATGTTTTTCTATTTATAATATTCTATTATGTCTTATTCTTGGTGAATATTTTTTACATAATTATATTAGTTTATACTATATTTAAAAAAATTTTCTTCTCCCCTTCTTTTTTCTTGTTATCTTCCTTATATATTTGTATCGTTTATTTATTTTACACTCTCATACATTTATTTTACGAATTTATTGTTTAATTCTTATTCTTAATTTTATTCATTTTATTATTAAACGCCTGTGTTTTCTCCAAAAACACCACCTATATTTATATTTCCTCCAAAAATACCCCCTGTATTTGTTTATCCTCCTAAAAGACCGCCTGTATTAGTACTATTTCCACCAAAAATACCTCCTGTATTACTTGTGTTTCCTCCACAAAAAAGACCTGTATTACTTGTGGTTCCTCCAAAAATTCCTCCTCCAGTATTAGTTTATTATCCAAAAAGAGATCCTCCAGTAGCAGTGGATCCTCCGAACAAGCATCCACCTGCAGAATTATTAGTACTATTGGGTTAAGTACCGAATAATCCACCTGTAGTGCCTTATGTACCTTAAAAATTTTTAGTATTTGATGCCTAAGCTGTTTATCCAAACAAACTAGCTCCTTATTAATTATTTTGATTTTAAAATAAATTATTTCCAGGAATTGTAGCTGATTATGGAGCTCCGAATAAACCTGGCGCACTATTATTGGTATTTTAAACTTAAGGATTTCCTAAAAAACCACCTGTATTTGATTATTATGTTTATAATGTTCCTTTTATTATAGTATTTTTAGTATTTATATATATATATTTTTTTTTATACCTTTAGGAGGAGGAATATTTCCTTATGAAATTTATTTTTTATCATTTAATTATAATTAAAATAATGATAAATTTTTAAATTATTCGGATCCTGAAATGCAATTTATAGAAAAATGGTATGTTTCTTTGTTTTTTACTTATGATTATGCTACTGTTTAATTTTAAGGCTAACAAGGTCTAAAATTAACTCCTATAGTGCTTGATTAAAATAAATTCCCTTGCTATTAATTAGGTTAATTAAGTTAAAATTACATATAAAGTCTTTTTTTTATTTAATTTTTTTTTTTTTTTTGTCTAATAAATAAATTTATTTTATAAATAAAAATAAGTAAAAAAAAATATATTTAAAAATTAATATTATATTTTATTTTTATTTTATTTAGTTTTTTTTTTAAAAAAAAAGAAATTTAAAAGAGTAGTTTAATTTATAATTTATTTTTTGAAAATTTCTAAGATAAAATATAAAATAACATTTATTCTATCTTATTTTAATATATAACAAAAGAACATAAATACTAAATTTAAATAAATTATAGTAAGAATAAGAAAATTATTCAAATTGTACCTTTTTAATAATTAATAAACTTTATATAACTTTTTAAAATTAGATAATTATAAATAATGTATTCTATTAAATAAGTTGAAATTACTTTTATTAAATATTTTAATTATATTTTATTTTTATTTTTAATTTTTTATATTTATATTAACAGGGCCAATGTTCACTTTTTATAAAATTATTAATTTTTTTTTTTTTTTTTTTCCTAAATTAAAGTTTAAATAATTTTATTAGAATTTTAATTTGATTTTCTATAAAATACAAGAAAAATTATATATAATGTTTAAAAATAATTTTTTTATTTAGAATTATATTTATTTTATAGATTTTTTTTATTTTATTAAGAAAAAAAAATATATATTTAGAATATTAATTATCATTCTTAATAATAAAAAACACTTTAAATTTATTATTGTAATTAAATTAGCAATTAAATATAATTAATTAAAATTAAAAAATAAAAAAACAATATTATTCTTTAGATTATTTTTTTAAAATACATTTATATTCTAATCTTAACTATATTATTTTAACCAAAAGTTACTTAAATAGTAAATATATATTTATAATATAATTTTATAAATTATATAAATATATTTCATATATTTATAATTTTTATTCAGTATTTTTTACATTAATATGTTAATTTGATAATATTTTGATATTTATTGGTTTAAATATCAAATCATGTAACTATATCATATGTAAAAAAAAAAAAAAAAAAATTAAAATTTTAATTTATCTTAAATTTCAATGAATTTTTGTTATAGTAAATATATTTTAATATAATTAAAAAAAAATATTTCAAATATTGTATTTTTTAAAAAGTATTAAATAACATTAGTATTTTTATAATTTTTTTTATTAATTTATAAATTAAATTAATAATAAATATTTATTACTGATTTATATTATTATTGTTTTTTTTTTAAATAAATATATTAATCAATAACAAAAAAAAGAAATTTATTATCCATTTTTAATGACTTTTTTTTTTATTTGATTGACTTTTTTAATAAAAAATTAAAGAAAACAATAATATTAGCAAATAATATCATTTTAAAAAGAAGAATAGAAGTATATTTTAAATTAGTTTTAAAATCTATAATTAATTTCAGAATCAATTTAGTTAATAATTTCTACTTAAAATATAATATATTAGATATATATTAATTTTATTTTCATGTTTTTAATAAGGATTTTCAGTTTATAATATTAAATTTAAATATTTATTAGAAAAAATTAATATTATTTTAATTTATAAATTTAAAAATTTTCTAATTTAAAAAAAAATTAAATATAAATTATAATATATAGAAAAACGATTTTTATTCTAATAAAATATATTTATATAAAAAAAAAAATAATAAACATGGATTTTGCAAGCAATCTAATTTTAAAATAAAATTTATACCCAATAAACAAAAAAAACCTAAATAATAAGGTTCATCTCCTCGAGAATTGAAGCTAAAGGATTTTAATACATCAAAACCATAAATAAATTATAAAAAAACTACTTAATCTACTGACGTGAGGCAAAATACATTGTAAATTAGGCCAGGAGGAGGAGGAATATTGACAAAAATTAAAACATAGAATTAATTAAATAAGAAACCTCAATTATAGTAAAAGAACCATAAAAAATAAACAAAAAAATAAGAATTAGAAAATTGTTTTAATTTATTATTTATATATATATATTTTTTTTTATTAAATTCATTTTTTTTTTTTTTTTCTAAAATTTAAAGAAATATTATTTGATGAAGAAGAAAGAAAAAAAATAGAAGAAGAAGAAAGGAGATGTAAAACAAAAAAATTAATAATTACAAAAAAAATTAATTTAAAATAGAATTCGAATTAGACAAATTTAGGTATTTACAAGAACAAAAATTATCAAAAGAAGAAAAAGAAAGATTGCTTTTTGAAGTAAAATAAAAAAGCAAAAAAGCAAAACAACATAAACATAAAAAAAGTAAGAAAAAGAAGCTGAATTTTAATTAAGATTTGAAGCTCGAATATATGCAGAGGAAAAAAAACTTCGTGAATAATTAGAATGGTAAATATATTTAAGTTGTTAAACAAAACCAGATCCAGAAAGCGAGAAAAGTCAAAATTAATACATATATTAATATGATGAAATTAATACAATAGATTAAATCGAAAAAGTGTCTTTTTATTTAAAAAAAAGCGATTATTCTGAAGGAGTTATAGATGATCTTTAAGAATCATATTTTAAAGCATTATCAGATAATAAATATGAGAAAATAGATTATTATTAAAAATATATTCATAAAATAAGAAATATTACAATTTAAAAAGTTTAATAAATATTATTTTTAATATTTAAAAATCAAGAAAACTATATTTCTTAAAAAAATATTGAATGTATATTTTATTTTAATATAGTATTTTTTTTATAAATATAAATAAAAAATAAAAGTGTAAAAACTAGAAAAGATTACTATAGAATAAGAAAATATAAAATAAATAATTACTAATATTCTCACAAAACCAGAAAATCGTTTTTATTATGAAATGTTCCAATTATTTAATTCAGATTTTTTCCAAATTTCGTTCTTTTGGTAACCTATATCAAAAACAGGATATAGAATAAAACCTATAGAATTCAAAACGAACAATTTTATGTTGGAAATGCCCAAAAATCTAACTAATTAATCTGTTATACTTAGAACTATATGGACAAAAGAAAATTATTTATACAAAGATAAGTAAAAATATTTTACTTTAGGAGGCCTGTATGATTGTAAATGCTATAATATGTTACCTTTTATGACTAAAAATAAAAAATATTAAATAAAAATTGATTTTTATGAACCATAAGAATGTATGAAGGCTATAAAATACCCTCCAGAAAATACTGGCTTATAAGGAAATTTTTCGTTTTTAAAAGGTGCTTTTAATGTTCCTGATTATGTTTATTTACCTGAAGATTTTACACCAAAACTAGATGTTTTTATTGTAAAATTATAAAAAAATATATATTAATATATTTATATTGATATATAAAATATATATATATATATATATTTATATTATATATAATTTATTTAGGAAAACTTAGGATGGACAGAAGAACATATTAATTTAATTAAATATGATAATTAAACAAAACATGTTTAATTTTAAACTAAAATATTGGCTCCTTTAGCTTGTATACTTCCATTAGATGCAGACTATCCTTATTAAAGTTTCCATATGAAAAGCTTTCAAGATTAACTCGTTAGTCTTAATTTGAAAAGTAATCTTTTTTTATATTAATAACTTACATATTTTTATTATAAAATAAAGCTAAAGAGGCATTTGTTTAAAATTTTTAATTAACTCAGAATCAGTTTAAATTTAAGACTTTTAGCATTTGTATATATAAAAAGAATGCTCTTATATTCAAATGTTATAATAATTAAAAAATATAGGAATTAATTTAATGCCTGACTTTGAAAATGATTATAAAATATCAGATGTTGAAAATAAAGCTTTATAAGAAGTTTTAATGTTAATAAAATGTTTCTAAATATAAAGCAATATTTAAAATCGTAACATAGGAAACGATTAAATTATTTTCGATATTAAATAAAATTATGAATTTAAAGAATCTGAGGAATTCTAATGGGTTTAAACAAATATTTGGTGCAATAAATGTAGCCTGTTTGATTAAAAAAATAAACCTTTAGGTGTTAGTCACAGTATGGTTTCTTAAATATTCTAAAGTCATTAAAATATATTGGAAAATTTAACTTAAGATGTGATTGATAAAATGGAAGATGTGCTTAATGCTGATTTTTAGAATAATTTAAGAAGATTTTTAAAATTATCGAAAATTGTGGCTTTTTCATGAAATTTAATTCCTTTTTTATTTAAAAATAAACTTGATTTTTTTTACTTTTATTATAATCTACATTTACATTATTAAAATGTATTATATATTAAAATATTTAATTTTTAAACATATAAATTTGATATTTATAAGTATGAATATCGCTAAAAATATAAAAATTACATATTTAAAAATTTAAAAATATAAAATATTTATGTCAATATAATTAAAAATTTAATATTATTTATTTTAAAGAAAAAAATTTAAATTATAAAAAAAATAATTTATTATTAACAAAATAAAAATTAAGTCGAAATTTTAAAGTATTAATAAAAAAAAAGTAAACTGTAAAATTCACTTTTATTTTAAAATATAAAAAGATTATTTTTTATTTATTATAAATATTTATTAATATAATAAATAAATTGTTCAATTTAGTTTTTATGTACTTAGCTTTAAAAATAAAAGTGATATAATATTCATAAATAATGCTAAGCCTATTAAAATACCTAATGCTTCCCAAATTGAAAAATCGAAATCTTTTATTTATTTTTTTAAAAATAAATAATATCTAAAATACCAAAAGTTTTAATAGGATCATAATTAATTTCTACAAATACTAATCCATTTAACTAGTTTATCATTAATGCATTTAATGAATATCTAAATGGCTAAAATATAAAAAAATAAATAAAATAATATATATATTATATATTATATATATTATATATATATATATATATATATTTATATATTTATTTTTATATAAATTACTGAAATATATTATATCCAACTAATCCAAGATGGCATCTTACTTAAATTAATATAAAACCCTGCAAATAATGCAAATGAATATAATAGCATCTTTTCGAAATATATATAAAATATAAAAGAAATTAAAATATACTGGTGATATAGCTGTTACAACAGTATTATTTGTAAAAATACTTCCAATCATTAAACCTAACCCATTTCCGGCTAAAGAAAGCACAACTAAAATTAAACCTTTATTTATATTTAAAATTTTATATATTTTATAAAAAATACATGATATTCCAAATCCTTCAGTTCTCTATGAAGTTAGCCAATAAATTATTGAATTAAATAATATAGGATATAAAATAACATAAGGAATTTCGACAATAAGCTTTCCATAAAAATAAGAATAAACTCTATATGTGTTTGAGTTTTCTTCTTTTAAAAATAAGTTTCGTTCCTTAGGAACTATTATAAAAAAAATGCTAAACCAAAAAAATATAAAAATATAATACACAATTAAACATAAGTTATCATAATATTTAAAAATATAGCTATAGAAATAAAAAACATTAAACCAGTAATATTTGAGACCCATTTAACTATTTAATTTTAATCTTTACTATCAATTGAAGGTTAGTCTTGTCCAATAAACCACCATAGACTAGAAACAAGAAAACATAAAATAATTAATTAAATTATTTTAGATTTTAAGAGCAATGGTTATCTTTTAAAATTAAGAAAAGCCCTATGTGCAATTACTTTAGTTTCGTAAATAAAAGGATTTGTTTTTATTATTTGTATTATTTTTTCTTGTTTGTCAATACAAAAGTTTTCTATTTCTTATAATATATTATTTTGTATATTTTAATCATATGCACTTTTTGAAAATAATTGATAAGAAATGTCTTTTGAATTAAGAATAAACATGAAAAAATCAGCAGGATTGCAAAATTATGGAAATTCATAATCGTTATTTTATAAATATTAAACTATTTAATCAGCTTTTCCTTAATAAACTGTTTAACCATCTTATAATAAAAGTAACCTATCAAGTTATTAAAAAATTTCACTGTTAGGTTAATTTATAGTAAAGATTATAGTTTTTCCATCTTATGTAGATAATTATTATAATATGTTTATTAATTATAGTGATGAAAAATTATCAAGACCAGTTGTGGGTTCTATATAAAAAATTTTATTAAATTTTTGAAATATAAAAAAGTATATTGATATATATATTAAAAAATTAATAATATATAAAAGAATTTAAATAAATATTAAAGCAATAATAATATATTAATATAAATATATATATATATATATATATATATATATATATTTAATAAATATATTTATATTTTTTTTTTTTTTATATATATATATATATATAAATCTAATATTTAATATAATATTAATATACATATAATATATATTCAATATTAATTATTTTTCATAATGTATATTTATAAATACCATCTAATATTATTAATTCAGGATTATTAATTAATTCAATTCCTATATTAGTTCTTTTTCTTTCTCCAATACTTATTCCTTTAACATAAACTCCACCAACCTGTATTATTTATTTATTATTATTTATTTTTCAAGTAAATATAGATATATTTTTAATACAAATAAAAATTTGTTACAAAACTATTTTAGCAATTTTCTAGTTTTAGTTTTTGAACTATTTAATTTACTTTTTGTTAAATATCTATATTTTATTATATAAGCTTTAGTTTTGCTGCAAATTCGATTGTTTCTATATATATTATATTTTACTTTGTTTAAATTTTTAATATTTTATTACCTCTAACTGTCAACGTTTCTAATAATATATCGTCTTAAAAAACAAATGCTGATGTACTACTAAATTAAATAGAATTATATTTGTAATTATTCATATAAATCTAAATATAAAAAATAAATAAACTTTATTAATATATTTTTTTTGAATAACTTCTCCCTATATTTTGTATTATTTATTATTATCAAGTTTTTTTGCTAAAACATTTAAAAAAGTCGTTTTTCCTGAACCTTTTTTTTTTTTTTTTTTAATTTTAAATGGTATTTTATTTTACCTGAAGGACCCATTATAGCTAATGTTTGGCCAGAAATTACATATCCAGTACAATTTTATAATAATGTTTTATATTTTTTACTTTTGACAGAATTTTTGTCAATAACTTCAACATTTAAATTAATCCATTTTAAGTTAAATTTTTATTTTCCAAGCAAAGGCGCATTCATATTTTTTTTTTTAATAATTCTTATATATAAAAAAGTAATAAAAAAAATATATATATAATTTATTAAAAATATAAATAGAATAAAAAAAAAATTCTTAAAATAAAAAAAAAAATGAAAATTATATATCTTAATAACAAAAAATTCAAATATTTTCATATTATTAAATAAAATTAAGTTTTCCTTCACTTCTATATTTTTCAATTTCTTAATTATCTAACCAATTAGTTATTTTTCCTTCTTCCCAAACACCAATTTTATCTTACTAACCTTTAGAAATTTACATTCTGAACCCATGCTATTTTCCCATTTTCTATTATTCAATATATTTCTTCCCATCAGCCTAAACAAAAACACCTAATCCATGCTTTTTGTCTTCAAAATATTCACCTTCATAATATTTCCCATCAGGCCATTTAATATTGCCTTTTCCATGCATTTTATTCTAAATCCAATCTCCTTCATAAACTCTTCCGTCAGGCGATCTATAAATACCGTTTCCCTCAATCACATTATTTTTAAATTCTCCTTCATATTCAGATTTATCAGAAAATTTTAAATATCCTTTCCCTTCTTTTTGACCATTGACGTATAATCCTTCATGTTTTGCATGATCAGGCCAAATTTCAACTCCGTTTCCATGTTATTTATCATCTTTCCATTAACCTTCGTATTTGGCTCCATTTACGTGATAATATATACCAAAGCCATTAGCTTTATCGTTAGACCATTCTCCATCGTATATATCACCTGAAGAATGGGTTAATTTACCCCTTCCATATGATTTATTTTGTTGCCAATAACCTTCATATTATGAACCATTTGCCCATTTTTATTTTCCATAACCATCTTTCATTCCATTTAACCATTCTCCTTCATATATAACTCCCTTTTCTAATGTGATTGGAGGGAGTTTTTATCTTTCGAGGTTTTCTGATTCATATTTACAATCTATGCTCGTATTTTAGTTAAATTTATCGTAATTATTTTATACTCAATTTTATTGAATTATTACTTTTTATGAAGGAAAATTTAAAAATTCATTTTTTAATTCGTTTTTAATTTCTCCTTATTTTTATAAACAACATGAACAGTTTCCCATGATTTTTTTTTTTAAACAAAAAAAAAATTATCTTTTAAATACCTTATTTTTTATAAAAAATGTTAATACTAAATCTAATAAAATTCATGAATTAAATATTTTTTAAATAAGATAATAATATAAAAATAAAATGCTCATATTTTATAATAAAATAAATAATAAATGTATTATTTTAAATGCAAATAAAATAAAAAAATTATTTATATAAATATTGCTTTTTTTTTCTTTTTTTTTTTTCTAATAATTACATATGTAAAATATATTATAAAAAATTATTAATATAAATTTATTTATTTTATATTGTTTAAGATACTGTTTTATTTTCAATATGTCCACAATTATTTATTTAAATGTTCTTTTTCTAATATAATTTTTCCTTCTTTATATTTTTAAGATTCTTCGTACGCTTTAAACTTTGATAAATATAAATATAAGTTATTTTATAAAATATAATATATAATAAAATCAAAAATACATATTTCCATCCTAAAACAGTATCACATTTTTTACATGATATATTACTAACAATATGAATTCCTGTCAATAAAGTTTATTCTTCTTAAGCTGCACATTTAACATTTATTCTTATTTAATAAATTATAATTAGATTTATTTTTATTTTTTATTATTTATATTACACTGAATTTAACAAATATGCTTTTCCATTTTAACCTTTAAATGCCTATTTTATTTTTATCCTATTAATCAATTTTTCAATTTTTTAATTTTTATACTTTTGATATTAGCTCATTATATGAAGCTAAATGAGTATTACAAATTTTACATGTAAATATATTGTTTCCTTCTATATAATCTAAATATACCCTTCCCATTTTTAAAATTTGAAGATTATTTTTTAATTTTTACTTTATTTATTAATAAAAAATGTTCAAAAATATAATAAAAATAATTTATTTTCAAATTATTATTATTATTATTATTATTATTATTATTATTTCTATTTATATATATATATATATATATATAAATATATATATATATATATATATATATATATATATATAATTAAATAATTAATATTAATTTATATATTTTTTTTATATATTTATTTTCATAATATCTAATATTATAAATTAATTCTTTCCTGCATTTCTACTATACTTTTTGTTTTAAGAACTTATTAATGAAATTTTATATATTTCTTTTTTTTTTTTAAAAAAAAAAAAGTAAATGTATGATAAAATATATTTTTTATATACTCCTAGAATTTAACATATTCCAATAAATGTTTAATTTATATCATCTTCTAATGATTAATCAAATTAATTATCGATTTACCATAAATATCTTTCTTTTTAAATAGATTATTTCATAAGATGTTCATCAATTGAATCTATTTTTAATTGATTTAATTTTAGATGATTTTTCATTTACTCTTACATAACTTAATAATTTGTTATTTATGAAATTGCATTATTAATTCTTTCCTAATTTTTTTACAGTTTAATATTCCCGATATGTTTCATAAAATCAAAAAGAATATTTTATATTTATAAAATACTAATATCATCCATTTATAATTTCGCCGAAAAAAGTATAATGGATTTAATAGATTTAATAACAACTTCATTAGTTTATTATTTAAATTCGAAAAGTTAGCATCCTAATTTAAGTAAAATAACTTTAAGCATGTCCCTGCTCATTCTATATAAATAATCATTTGAATTAGTATTATATTCTTATATATAATGCAAATAATCTAAAGATTCAATATAATTCTCTTCATTTAAAATTAGTTAGAAAACATGTAATAATGCAAAACAACTTTATACCTTATTTAAATATAAATTATATTCCATATCTAATTTCTCAATATCTTTTTTACTTAAAATTATTTTATTTGGAGCCTTGAATTCACCCATAATTTCGAAATTACTTTTTAATTTCTGTATTAATCTTTTATAATTAGTCATTTATATAGTATCCAAAGAAAATTTATTTTTAGATTATTCCTTAATAGAAACATCCAATAAATGGTATTTTAGGAGTTCCTCAATACTATTACTTTAAAATCTCAAATAAATTGCGAAATTTCCTAAAGGAGGCAATGTTCCTTATCTTTTTTATTTTTCGTATTTTTTTCTTACATATTCATTCAAAAAAACAAATCTTTTAGAATAATTATCGGATATTTTATCCGCTAAAAAACTTATTTCATATTATTCTAATTCTTAATATTATTTTTCGTTTTCTATATATATTTCTTTTTTCAACTATTCTTATACAAATTATTTTATTGTGTATTTTTAATTATCACTTGTAAGCAAATCTACAGTTTATATACTTTCTTAATTGTCTTTTTCCATTAATTCAAATGTATATTCAAAAAGGCTTTCCGTATTATCCTATATATAAATTAAACAATAAGCACTAGTCATTTAGTAGCCTATTGCTTATTGCATTACTGTTTCTTCAGTTTCTTCTGCTACTTATGTATCATTAAATGAAAACCATTTTTTCCTATCACGAACGTATATATAAGCATAATAATGACCAGAATCTTTAAAATAAAAAGCAAATATTATTTTTTTCTCTCTTTTTTTTACCTGCATATCCTTTGTGAATTAAAATTGCGTGTAAAAAATATTTATTTTTCTGAAGATTTTTATATATTTTATCTATTTCAGACTTTTTAATTTTATTAAAAATTAAAAAATTATGAATTTAAGTTACATTTATGTTTTAAAGCTGATTTTCTAATTAGTTGATAAAATTTTATGTCTATTCTTAAAAGTTTAATAAAACTTAAGGAATTTTTTAATTAACAAATTATTTTCTTTATTAATTTAGATCTTTTATACTTTAATTTAAATCATCTATATTTTTGTCTTTTTAATTTTCTACTAGTATTTGATTTTTATCTTATGTATTAATAATATTATTGTTAATATTTTAATTATTAAGATTATTATTAATAATATCATCAAAAAAGTCAACATTTTACATTTAACTATTATTATTATTATTAATAACTTAATCATTTAGATCTAATAAATTAATATTATTTTCCAAAATATTATCTTCAACAAAGAATTAAGACACTGTTTGATTACCATTTTATGCTTCTAATTTAATTTCTTTTTTAGGTGAAAATTTCTCCTACTTTATTGATACTTATTATAATTCTTATTAATTTTCAGTAATAATTTTAACTGTATTTTAAATAATATCCGTAATAGATAAATTCAAATTTTAAAAATTTTTTATTCTAGAAAGTTCTTATTATAAAATATCTCTCTTTTTTTATTTGTATAGTTTTTTTTTTTAATTTAATAAAAAAATTTACTTATTATTTTAAAGCTTTTAATTTAGGTTTATTTTCTAAAATATAATCTCTATTTTCTAATAAAAATCTATCAATATAAATCTCCTTTTCAAAATAAAATGGCGTATTTAATTTTTCAGGAAATCCTTTTTCTTTATTATAAACAACTCTTTGAATTTAAAACATTAAAGTTTCCGGTTTTTTTGTAATCCAACAAGTTTTTTCCATCTCTGTTTATTATCCAACATTATTTTTAAAATCATTTATATAAAGTGTATTATGGTTTTCCCAACTAGTATATAAATCTTAATATTATAAATCTAAAATAATAGGCGAAAAAACGCTTTCTTCTGAATGCTATTTCAATTATCCGTTTTAATAATAAGCCACAAATTCTTTCCTTTTTCCAAAAAAAAGCTTATTAATTAATGAATCTTCATCCTCTAGCATTAATGATAGTTGTCTTTTTTACGGTTTATTCGGTGTCAAATCTTCATTTAACAAATCTTATGTTTGTACTTATTATTATTATTATTATGTTAATCCTAATATTTTTTGATGATCTTTGCCTTTTTATAATTATAAACCTTCTTAAATTCTTTCCAAAAATAATAAATTAAATTCCTCAACGTCCTTTTATTCGCCTAAAATCACTTATTTTCCTTCATTATCGACTATATTTTCTAATACAGACCGCGGGCATGCATATTTTTTATCCGATAAAATCATAAATCCAAAAAGCCTTTATAAGCCTAAAACAAGTCTTATAGAAGCTTGTAATCTTGCTTGCTTTTATGGACTTAAATTGCTAAAATTAATATCTTATTAGCATCTATAATTCATGATTGCTTCTAAAAATTTAGGTAAGTAGAAATATGATTATATTAATGAATTAAAATAACACGCTTTATTGTAGTAAAAAAATATAGTAATATATATATATATATATATATATATATATATATATATATATATATATATATATATTTTAAATATTACTATTGCCATAATTTAATAACCCTACTGGTTATCCTTCTTTTCTTAATCTTTAATTAATTGGCAATATTTCATGCGTTTATTAATTTTGGTTTTAATCCTAAATATTATTATTTTCTTAATTTTTGTTTTAAATTTATTAATTTTATTCCTTTTCTCTTTTATTTTTTTTTTTAAAATATATGTATATATATATATATATATATATATATATATATATATATATATATATATATATATATCAGTAAAATATATTTTTTTTTACTAAAGATATACAATAACATCCAAAATAGGCTTATTTTATGTTGTTGAAATTTCTACAGCTCTATAAATCAAATCAGTTTTAAAACCCATTTCTTAAAGTTTTTAAACAACTTCATCTGATATATATGATGATTATTATTATTGCTATTATACTTGCTATATTTATTCGTTTTGTCTATACATTTTATATGAATATATTATTTTTTTTATTTTTTATTAATTTAAAGAAACTTATTTTATTTTATTTTTAAAAAAAAGAAATCAAATAAAAAATATAAATTAAATATTCAAAATTAAAGAAAGTAATTTATTTTATAATAATTTTTTATAAATATATTTTTAATATTTTTAAGTCTTAAAAAAAATATAGATAATCAATTTTACTTTAAAATTATGCCACAATTTTTTAATATTTAGATTTTGATTAATAATATTTAAATAAATGCAATACAAAATTTAATTTATTTAATTTTTATTTTTTAGATATTCATCTATTTTATTTTACATATTAATTTAAAATAAATATATAATATAAATTTATTTATATGCTATTAATAAATTGATAATGTATATTTAATTATAAAAATTATATAAAATAACTTTCAATTATATAAATATTTTTTATTTTATTTTCTATTTGTTATTTTTATTTTTAATATAATTTTTTAAAAAAAAACTCTATATAAAAAAAATACAAGAAAAACGTGTCATTATTTTATATAGTTTTTAAATAAAAATTACATAAAAAATATTAAAAAATAATATGAAAAAGTAATAAATAATAATAGTAAAATTTAATTAAAATATTTTTATTTATAATTAAAAAATCTAGATAATATTTAGACAATTATTCTTATTTTTTGTTAAATTACTTAATTAACAAAACAACTATTACTATAAATTTTTATATTGATTAAAACATAAATAAAATAAAAATATTTATTTTTTATAATTTATTTTTTTATTTTGAATAAATAAGCTTTTTTTTTTTTTAATAAAAATAAATGAAATATTAAATTTAATTTTTTTTTTTTGATATAATTTTATTTTTTTCTATTTTAAATATAAATAATGTACTTATCATATGATTAATATTTATAAAAATAAGATAAGGATTTATTTTATAAAATACAATTAATTTCAAACAATTTTAAATATTATAAATGTAAAATTAGTAATATTTTTCTATTTCTTTTTTTTTAATTTTATTGATTTATACAATTTATAATCATATTTTTTTCTTCTTTTTATAGCAATGATTATTTATATAAAAAATAAAAAAGTTTTAGAGGAAAAAAAAAAAAAATATAACAATTAAGAAATCTATAATATTTTTCTATATTATTCTTAAAATGTAATATCAAAATTCAAAAAATACAGATACGAATAGAAATAGATGTAGTCTAGCAATTTCAAAAAAAAGATAATATAAAATAGAAGCCTAAAAAAAAAAAGATAAAAATATATTAAATGTAGACCTATTAAGAATATTAAAATGTTTATAGAAATAGGCGAAGAGCCTTTATTTTTTTTATATGGTAGCTTTTGTATAGATTTGAGATTTTACAAAGACTTAAATTATGAAAAAATAGCAGCATGAAATTCTAAAATAAATATAACATAAATACTCTAATAAAAAGATTATATAACATTTAATTTTTAATAAATAGATTAGCCAATGAGAAATTTTAAGGCAGTTTAGTAAAGGCTAAAAAGTTGCTAAAATTAAGATTTAAAATAAATTTCTGATTTCTTGAATCAATATTAATAAATAATAGACTTAAGAATTTCTTAGATTTAATAAATAAAATAAAATATAAAAATAATTTAGAATATTTATAGGTAATTTAAAATCTAAGATATTAAGAATTTGAATAAATGAAAAATTTAATTATTAATGATTTAAATTAAAAAAGTGTTAAGTATTTGGCATTTACAACTAGTGCTAATTATAAAACAGGAGATAGTTAAATGATGTAAGTAATTTGCAATAATGATATTTTGCATTTTTTTGGAATAACGTAGGAATAATATTCGAAAATCGGAATGAGAAATGGGGGATTAGAAATTTTTGAATAAATGTAATAATTATTATATATAAAAAATGTTTTAAATTGCATGCTATTCCCAAATTAATAAAATTATTTTTAAATTTAAATAAAAACTTTTGATAATATTGATGTTTTAGTTAAATTATCTATTTAAAATTTTTTTATTCAAAACAATAATTTTTCAGAATTTATGGGTGATTTTGTACTTTAAATTTAATTTTTTGATGTCGATGAACTTTAGTTATCAAGACTTTATTATATAAGAAATTAATAAATCTAAAATCCGTTAATCGAATGGGAGGAGAATTTTGAATATACCAAACAATCTAATTTGTTAATTGATAAATTTTATTTAAAAAATGAACAGCTATATAAAAAAGGAAGAAAAAAGAAATCTGATTGATTTTTTTTTAAAATAACTTTTTTAATTTACTATATATTGTATTTAGTTTCTAAATAATACATATTATATTATTAAATTATAATTTTAAATATTTATTTTCTGGATAATAGATATTTATAAAAAAATGATATATTATTTTTTACTAATTTAAAATTATTATATATATTATACGATAAATAAATATGAAAAAAAAAAAAAATTAGAATTTTTTATAAACAATAATTAAATGCTCAAATTAATATTTATAAATAAACGATACTTTGTATCATAATAATTTTAAAAAGAATATAAAATGTTTTTTTTCTATTAATTGAAGCAATTAATTTAATTTTTAAAACTTAGTGTTTCTAAATATTTTAATATACTCTATATAATAGTTATTCATTTTTAAAACCTATTATATATCATTAAAATAATTAATTTCATTTTATAACTATTAAAACTATTATTTTTTTAAATCATAAATATTAAATATATGTTTTTTTTAGAATCATATATTTTATTTATAACTTTACTTATTTGGATTAAATTATTAGAATTTGAATAAGATTGATATATGTATTATTAAATCAAAAATAAGATATCAATATATTAAAAAAGTCATTTTTTTTAATAAATATAATTAAATTATTTTAATTTTGTATATATAAAAATAAAATAAAACAAATAAAAATATTAAAATAAATTAGATAAAATTTATAATTTATCTATTTTTTTTATCAGTAAATATATTAAATATAACAATACAAAAGAAAATATTTCTTTTAATAAATATATATTACAATATATCTTTAATATTATTGTTGTTTTTAATTAATATATTAGTAGTATTTTAATATTATGTTAAAACATATTTAATTTTTATATTCTTTACATTTTATATTTAAATTTAAATAATTATTAAGTTAGTATGTTTTTCGTTTCATATTATCTATTTTAACCTTATATTAATTAATATCAATTATAAATGAAATATATTTATTTATATAATAATTATTAAATAAAACCTTTATAAATTTTATATTAAATATGGTATTTTATTCCAACATTTATTAAAAACTTATTGAAAAAATTAATTTTTTAATCTTTTTTTTTATTTTTTATTATCATTTTATTCTTATATAAAAATAAAATGCTAAAAAAAAATAAGATTCAAACATTTATAATAAAAAACTTTGAAAAAAAGCTAATATATTATAATTCCAAATGTAAAACATTTATATTTATTCGTTATAATTTTATTATTTTTTACTTAATAAAAATGATAATTATTTTTTTATTCTGTTTATAATTAATTAAATTATATTAAAAATTAAACATTATATATTCAACATTATTCATAATTAAATAATGTTTTGATCTTTTTTTTTTTTTTTTTTAAAAAAAAAAAATATGTTGATTGATAATGAATTTTTTAAAAAAAAATCGTTTTATTTTTTATTTAGGAAGATTATTTATTATATACTAAATAAAAAAGTAAATGCATAAATTACATATATGTAAATATATATTTAATAGTTTCATTCTTCTTGTTAATCATATTCTTTTATTTATTCCTAATCTTCCTCATCACTAGCACAATCCTATTCTAAATTTAAGTTTAAAACATAACTTTAATATCCTTTTTGGCCATCTAAAACACCAAGATTACAAAGACATAAATATGCAGTTTTTTTATCATCTAATATTTTTGCGCACTAGAGAAAATATTTAAATTATTTTTAATAAAATATAAAATATAATATTATTTTTATTGTTACATCAATTGAATCTCTAAGAACTTTTACACCATTTTCAGTATTTTTCATTTCTATATATCCCAAAATTTTAGTAATATGTAATAAACAATCTAATTAAAGTTTATTTTTTTTAATTTTTTGCTTAATTCGTAACAATCCTATCGTAAAAATAAATATTTAGATAAATCTAATTTTTTTAAAAAAGAATTTACTGTAAAATGATTTAAAGAATCTTCTAAATATCCCGATTCTTACAAAGTTAGTCCCAATTATCCTAAGCAAAGGCATTCAGATTCTAATTCCTTTTTTTATTTTTGTAATAAATTTATATATAAAATATTCTATTCTTTTATTTTACATCTCTGTCTCTCGACCATTGTAAAGCATATGAAAAATTTTCTATAGACTCTTATCTCATTTGATATTTTCTTAAGACTATACCTAAGTTATAATAGCCTGCAAATATATTCTCTTAATCGGAATTTTCTATGTTTATTTTATGATATTCTAGGCTTTTTTCATAATCATTAATATAAAAATAATCAATTCCAATTCTATTTGCTCCTAAAGCAATACCAATTTTATCTTCCATTATGTTTGCGCATGTTTAATATTTAAGATAAGATTTAAGAGCCTTAAACAAAAAACAATTTTTTGTTTAAAAAAAATAAATTAAAATAATTACTTCGTTATATTTCTTTTAATTATCATAAACTACTCCTAAATAAAAACTTAAATGTGCTTCTTTTTAGACATCACCTGCTTATTATCCTGCTTTTACTCTTATTAGAAGATCCTTTACATTATTTTTATTATTTTCATCAAATATATTAAGTAAAGGCACAGAAGGAGCATACCTTTTAAAAAAAAAAAAAAATTAAATAAATTAAGGTAAGAATATTTTACGAAATTACCCATTACCAGGATTTATAGGTGAAAAAGAAGTTGCATTAGGTAAGTCAGGAGGTTAAACTTAAATTAATTAATCAAAGAATTATTTTTATGGTTCATTATTTTAATCTAAACATAAAGTCTACTCTAATATAGAAACATTACTTTTAAAATTCTTTTCTTGTACTCTTTTTACCGGACTTTATGTTTATACACCCATTTTGACTTTAGCATCTTCTTTCAAAGTAGAATTAATTAAAACACTTTAGTTTTTAAAAACTTCTTATTAATTAAATTTCACTACACTTTTTTTATCTTTTTTATTATTATTCATTAAATTATTTGGATTCTCTGTATTACTTGAATGAAAAAACTATTCGGCAGAATCTAAAAATTTTATTTCTTAAACTTCTTATTCTTTTTCAGCTATTTTTAATTGATTTAATCGCGATTATTATGGTAGGACAAATATTTCTTTAAACATTTAAAAATCACTTTCTTTTTTCCTTAAAGGTTTTATTTAAAATTAATTTGCCTGTTTTATCCTTTTTTATTAAGGCTCTATTTATTTAATATATTAATTCATTTTTTTTTATGTATTTTAATCTGCTCCGTTAAATAATACACTTGCTTCTTCTATTTAATTTTCCATTTCTTCTAATACTTTTATTGAATTAAATGATATTGGTTTTAATTTCTCTTTTAACCCGAATCTTGAAGGCTAAATCGGAGTTGAATGCATTTAGTTATTTTAAGCAATTGTTTGAACTATATTTGGATTTTTATTTAAGCTGAATGTCTTTTAATGAATGTTTGATTAGTTTAACAATTATTTTTATTAACTTTATTCATGGTTTGGTGGCGATTATTATGATTTGTTCATTTTCTATAATTAATTTTATGTTTAATGCTTTACTTATTTACAGTTTTATTGTTTATTTTTAATAAAATAAATAAATTAGATTTTTATTTTTATTTTATTTTTTTATTATCTTTAAAATTAATTATAAAAAAGTTATATATTTATTTAATATTTTTTATATTAAATTTCGATTGTTATACAATCTATCCATAAATTACAATCGGTTTAAAATTAAACATAATACATATTGAATATAAATAAATTAATTTTATCATAAAATTTATAAAAAAATAATAATATTTTATTTAAATTTTTAATATTAATTAATTTCTAAAAATAATATTTTATAATAAGCAATTATATTCTACTTTAAAATAACTTTATAATATATAATTTCGATATATAATTATATAAGTTATTCTGTAAAATCAATTATTATCTTTTAATTACTATATCTATTTTCTTAATCTATTTTTACTTTTTTATTTTAACTAGATATTTAAATACTAATATTATTATTTTATTGTTAGTTATAATTTAAATATAATATTAATAATTATGATTTCTAAATTTTTTATTTAATTGTTAAGTTAATTGATTACGTTTTATTTTTTAATATAAAATGAATTTCTACTATCATTAATATTATTTTGAATATATTTTACTTTAATCATTATTTAAAACATAGCAACTAATTTAGCTTTTATTTGTCTTTTTTTTGCTTGAAATTTAATGTTTTCTTAATTATTTTGGGGCTGTTATAAGTTAATTTTTTGTACAGATACTACTTTATCTTATTAATAATATTCAGTTTACGTTCCTATTTTTTTTTTTATTAATTTTCTATTTAAATTATATTTTTTTTATTAAATATTCATTTAATTTTTATCTTTTTATACATATAACTTAATTTTTTTTATTTCTAATGAGTTTCGAATTCGAAGGTAATTTAAATTTTTTATAATTGATAAATTTATCATAAAGCTAGTTTTTAATTATTATTTTAACTAATTAATATTTTATTTTTTTGAGTTTATTTATTCTCTTATTATAATATTACATGAACAAAAGATTTTTAAGTATTTTTAAAACTAAAACAAAAATTACTAATATTAAGAATAGAATATGATAATACCCTTTTTTTTATTTTTTTTGGAGGACATTTATATTCTATTTTTTTATCATTCTTAATAGTAATAACAGATGTACCTGAAAATATGCATTTTTTTGTTCTTTTTTGTAACTTTTTTTCGCCTTTTTTGTTAAAAATTTGTAATATTTTTCTAAAAAAAAATAGAGTCTAGATCATCTTCAGAATAACATCTTTCACTTCTACTAAAATGATCTTCTGAATTATCTCTTTATTTTAAGATTCTCAATAAAATTTCTAATTATGGATTAAAATATTTTATTTCCTAATAAGTCATATAAACTCATATAAACGCTTATACCTGTTTCTTTATAGGAAAATTTGCTTCTTTTTTTTTAATTTAACTATACAATTATATGTTTATTTTTTATACTTAAGAGTATATTAAAATGCATCTTCTTACTAAATTTAGATAAGCAAAGAAACTAGTTTTTAAAGTATAAATATTTGGTATATTTAAAATTTTCCATAAAGATATTCGGGAAGTTCTTTAATAATATTTTTAAACTTAAAAAGTAAAATCTTCGATCCTTATTTTCTATCCATTTAATTTGTTAGAAATTGAAAAATTTGAGTAGATATTTATTAAAATTTTAATAAAAAAATGAATTTAATATTTTAATAAAAATAACAAAAAAATATATATTTCTAAATATAATTATTGGTTATACTTCTTTTTAATTCTTCTTAAATATAGATTTATAAACGATTATTTAGAAATAATTTGTTTATGATATCTTCTATTTAAAAAAGGTTAATTATAATTTTTCATTTCTATTTATATTTTAATTAATTTTATTTTTTTTTTATTAAAAAAAAATTAACTTTTTAATATAATAGAAGGCTAAATACCCTTTATAATAAAGATTTATATTTAGAAAAATTCAATATATTATGATTTGATTATATATTTTTGATTGTATTAGTATAGAAAGAAAACACAATTAATTAATTTCTTTATAATTAATATAATTTTAAAAATTAAATTTTATTAATTTTTTTTTAATTAATTCAAATTAAAAATATTTTCCAAAGCTTAATTAGGATTTTCCAGATTTGATTTTGAATAAAATACTAAATCTTAATTTTTCAATTTAAATTAAAGAAATATATTGTATAAATTAATATTTAAAACTCTATTTATTTATATCCAATATAAAAATTGCTAAATATATTTATTTATCTTTATCGGAATATTTAATTATCTATGTGATATTTATCTAAATTAATGCTAATGTATTTAAAAAGTAAATTAATAATTTATTTTTTGAAGTTTAAAATAAATTTTTTAACATATTATGTAAAAAAAAAAAATTAAATATATCTTGATAATATAATAAATTTAATTTCTATAAATTTATACATAAAAACATATTTTAATTAATAAATAAATCATAATAAACATATAAATATATAAAATTATAATTTTCATTTATAAAATTTAAAAAATATAAATATTAAATTTATAAAAATTCATGAAATTATTAAAATGCTATAATATCTATTACAAATATTAAAAAAAAATATCTATTACAAATATTTTAAAATAAAATTATAATAAGACTTTTTAAAATAGCTAAAATAAAAAATTATTTTTTACATAAATTTAATATATGTATAAATATATATATAAAAATATAAATATATATAATATAATATATTAATATATATATTTATATACATATTTATATTATTTTTAATATTAATAATGTACCATATTATATTTAATAAAATTCTTATAAATTATTATATTATTTGTAATAATTTTTTTATCATTCTCTATATTTTTCTAAAAATTCACTATATATCTAAATTAATAAATTCTTATTTTTCTGATTTTCATAAATATTTTTTTCGTATTTCTTATAGCTATAAAAAGCTTTTATAACTCTTTAATCATCATTGTCAATCATGCTTTCTAAGTATTTAATCTATTTTTTATATAGAATATTTTATTGAAATTTTTACATACTTAATTTTCACTCCAATTGTACTTTTTTTAAAATTCTTTTATTTATTTTTTAGCTTCAACTATTTATTTTAATTTTAAATATTTTATTTTATTTATATTTATATATATATATATATATATATATATATATATATATATATATATTAGATACTCGATATTTCATAGTGATAAATCATGCAAATGTTTTCCAAAAACTCATTTTAGTCTTTATTATAATTATATAAAGCTAATGCACTCATCATAGGCGCATTTACATAATTAATTAGATTATAAAATATTTCTAAAATATCAACATTAAACTCTTTTAATTAATATTTAAACTATTTGACTATTGCTTTCAATTATTCTCTTTCTTCTAAGCTTGGACTAGTATATTTTTAAATATAATAAAACTATTCTTTTTTAATTCTTTATATATATATTTAAAATAAAAATAGTATTTATTAAGAAATTATATATTGAAAAACCAGTTGATATATCGTTTGCATAATTTTAAATTTACTCAATAAATTAATCAAATTCAATTTATTAATTATCATATTAGTCTGCTATTTCTAAAATTTTAACACTTCCTTTTATTATTACTTTCTCTAAATCCACTTTTTAGTGATTTCTTATATATCTTCTATAAGCATAAATTATAAATAATTAATTTAATACATTCTTATTTATTTTTTATATTTCATATTTATTAAGATTAAATTTCATTATTGATATTTTTTCGACTAAAAGTAAATTTTCAAGATACTCATACTTATTTTCTATTTATAATAATTAATAAATTAAATTTTTTAATTTTATATATATATACTATTGATTTAGAATGCTTCAAATGCAGCCAAAATAGAAACATCTTCTTACAAAAACAGGTATTATTATACAGAAAAGTTTTATTTATTATCAAGATTAATTAATGTGTTTAAAAAACTATTATATTTTTAGATTTTTTTATTTACAAAATATTGAGAAGGAACTATACTTCTTTTTATATTTTATATTGATAAAATTTCTTATTTGACTTTGTTTATATCTCTGTTTTTTTCATAAGATTAAATTATTTTAATTATTTAATAATCATACTTTTAATTATTATAAAATATTTTATTATTATTTATGTAAAAAAAATAGTTACCACTGAATATAGAAGAGTTACGTTTTCTTAAGTTTTCTTATGTGTTTAATTGGCTAAAAGATTCATTATTTCATCGAAAATTTTATCATATTCACTATAAAATTACTAATTATAAAATTCTATTAATTCATTTAGTAAAATTTCATTTAAATCATTTTCTTAGATTTATAATCCTACGTTTTCTATTTATTATAAATTTAAGTTCCAAATTTTAACTACACTATCGTAATTATCTTTAATATAATCTTTTTTTTCAGGAGAATTTTTTAAACTTTAAACTAATTTTCCTTTTTTTTTTTGTTTAATTAAATTATTTTATTTTATTTATATTATTTATTATATATAAAAAAAAAATACTTTTATTCAAAGGAGAAAATTAAGAAAATGTATTTATATATAGATTTGTTCTCATTTTTTTTTAATTATATTTTTTTTTTTGCTTAATTTAATCTAATTACTTTTTCTCATCTTCATTTTCATCTTAAACAACTTAATTTAAAACTTATTATAAATTCTATAAAGAAAGCTAACCAAGGCTAGGAGATGAACTATCAAAATTAACTTCTTATATTTTTTTCTTTTATTATTATAAAATAATAGTATTAAATTAATTTTAAAAAGACTCATCATCAGTTTCATCTATTTTATTTTTATTTTCCTTATTTTATTAAAGAGCTTATTTTAAATCTTAAATAAATTAATAAAGATCGCATTATTCTCTAAATTACTATTTTTGTTTGTTTATTATATATATATATATATATATATATATATATTTATTTTAATTTTTTTTATATTAACCTAATAAATTGCAAAAAATTATGAAGTTTTTATATTTTTATATTATTATATAGTATTAATTTCTTCTTAATTAAATTATTTTTTAAGTTATTCTTTTAACAAATTAATTGAAATCAATTTTAAAGGTTTTACTATCTTTAAAATTTTAAATAAATATTAATTAAATTTATCGGAGTAATAAAAATTTTATCTACCTATTAGAAATTCTGTGATTCGCATAATTATTTTTAAATTTCTTCAAAAATTTAATTAATATCTTCATTATCATGTTTTAAATAATGAAGAATTATACCTTTTTATAAAAATAAATAAAAAAAAAATAGTTTTATATTTTTAAACCATATTATTCTGGTTCAAATAATTCTATGTTATCATCCATAAAATCTAAAGGATTTAAATATTAAAATGTCTATTGATTTATTTAAATTTATTTGGAATTGCTATTTTTAGAACTAATTAAATTATTATGATCTTATAAATTAATTGCATTCACTATAGAATTGTTGTCTTCTTTATAATTACTATTCTATTTACTTGAGTTTAGATTTAAAAATTTAATTTAATCATTTGATATATTTATTTAATCTTTTTAAACTAAATTATTATCCATTTTATTAAAATTTTAAACAAAATTATTTTCTTAAATTAATTAATGACTTTAATTTTATTAAGATATTTTCTTTAAACTGCCAATAAGATCAGATTCATTTCTATCATCAGAAAAAATTGCTAATAATTATTAATTATTATTTTAAGCTAAAGAATGTAAAATTTATGCTTCATTTTAAGTTAAAAGTTATTGAAATTATAAAGATTATATTTTTTGTATTATGGCTTATAAACTAGGAAAAGGACTATTTGGTCGTTCTAGATAATTTTGAATACTAATATATTTTTTAAGTCTTTCTCTTTAATTAATATATTTTTTTTTTATTAAAAAAAGAAAAAAGAAAAATATAAATATATATATATATATATATATATATATATATATATATATATACATATATATATATATATATATTAAATAATTTTACATTAATATTTTTTTGGAATATTTTTATGAGAGGAAGTCTTCTATAATTTATATTAAATCTTAATTTTCTTTAAGTATTTATTTTTTTATCTCTGAAAGTTATACAATATTTAATAGATTATTATTCTCTAAATCAATAACTGCATTTATTATTTATTCTTATGTACTATAAATATATATATACATATTTATATATTTTTATTATTATTAGTAATTTTTTTTTTTTTAAAAAACAAAAATATTATTTATTTTTTAATACAAAACATTTTTATTTTGTCCAAATACAGATGTTGAATTTCTTTTTTTCTTGATAAAGCATTATTAGAATTCTTTTATATTTTGAATATTTATTATTAAGATTAACTTAAGATATATTATTTAAAATTATCTTCGTTAAATTAACTATAAACACCGAAAAATTTCTTCATAAAAGTTTCATATTCTTCTAATATTTTACATTTAAAATAAAGATATTCATAAGCATCAAGCTATATTTAATTAAGAATATCAATAAGCTCTTTTTTAGTAGGATATTAGTTATTTTTAACAAACTTAATAATTATTTTCAATATCGCATCTAAATCATTTTCTAATGAAACTTCTATTAATTTTTAATTTTATTTATAAATACTTAGACTAGGAGAAATACAAAATTAGTCCGAAAACTCTGATTCAACAAAACAAACATAAAAATCATTTATTTATTTATAAGAATTAGAAATTTCATTTATTTTTTTGACTAAATTATAAGTTTGTTCTTCAATAAATGCAATAAAAGTATAACCATTCAAATCTTAGTTAAAATCAAGATTTTTCCAAACTTAAATATTTCCAAGAATTGTAATGTTATTTAGGAATTTTTCACTTCTAGGAGAAATATAATTATTTTGAAGTAAATTATTACTATGATATACTATTCTTTAATTGTTTAAAGTATTTGAATCGAATAAAATTTTATATTAATTTTAAGGTGATTTTAATGATGTTACATGAGTATAATTATTTTAATCAATAAATTTATTTATAGATTCTGTTTAATCTATTATTATTGTGTATATTTCATCTTTTCTTAATATTTTTTAATCGATAAAACAATTTATGCTATAAAAATTATCTAATTTTTTTTTTTTTTTGAAATTAAGAAATATATTTTGCTTTTATTTTATGAAATATTTTTAATTATTACCTTTTGTATCTTTAAAACCTAATAAATTTCCTTTTATTTAAAATGCTCTATGTACTAAGTACCTTAAATCAGTATCAGTAAATTTATCTAGTAATATTATTTTTTTAATTTTTTATTTAAAACGTAATTATATCTAATTATTCATTTTTTATTTTATTTTATTTCGATATTAATTAATATATATAGAAAATAATTAAATTTTTTGAAAATATTAATTAAAGAAAAAAATTTAAATATATTTTATAAAATTTTAATTTATATAATTAATATTCTTTTTATTTTAATATAATTTAAAACTTTTTCTTTAACAAGTACATATTTTAAAATTAAATTTTAATATTAAATCAAGTTAATTTAATTGAATTTTAATCACAAAATAAAAATTGAGATTTATTTAAATTATTAAAAAAAATAATAATTATTTAATCCAAATAAATTATAATAATAATTTTAAAGTAGTTAACTTTTTATAATATATAAATATATCTAAATATTTAAGACTATAATTTGTCTTTTAAAAATGATGTAAACATCATTATATTAAAATACAATAAATTTAATATTTAATATAATATTGAAAATAAATTTTTAATTAAAACAAAAGTTTTTTAAAAAACTATTATATCAATATATTAAATAATATTATTTAAAATATTATATTAATACATTTATTATTTAAATTTCTTTAAATTTAATTATTATTAAAAATATTATACTATTATTTAATTATTTTTTTATTATTTAAAAATTTATAATGATTTTTAATTTATTTCAATTAGAATTTATTCGTATTGTCTTTTATTTGTTCAATATTTATATTTAAAAAACTAATTAAAAAATTATTATCTATTTTTTTCTCGCATTTATATTTTTTAGATTGAGTTTTTAATTAAAATTTAGAAATAAATTTAGAAGATATGCTAATAATATTTTTATATTTTTAATAATTTTTTATATTTATTTATTATAAAAATTTGTATTTTATAAAAAACTTAATTTTAAAATAATATTTGAATTTAAAATATAAATTTGACAATATTTTATTTATATAAAGCCAATTTTTTTTTTACATAATTAATTTTATATTCAATTTCGCATTTTAGCAAATTATATACGTCACTTATAATATAATTACTAAAAATTAAATTAAAATATTAACCTTTATAATTATTTATATAAAAAATTAATAATTTAAGAGTATATAATTTATATTTCCAAAAAAAATAAAAAAATTCAAAGAGAAAAATTACATATATTTAATGACAAAGTATAGAGAATTTTCTAAATTATTATTTTGTTTGTATGTTTAAATATTTTGATTTTTAATTTTTCTAAAAAGAAATCATATCTATTAAAGCAAAAAGATATAAATTAATTAAAATAAATAAGCAATTAATTAAATAAAAAACTAAATTAAAATATAAAATTAAAAAAAAAAATAATTAAAAATGTAATAAAAAGAATACACATTTGAATGGGAAATAAGAGAACAAGATATACCATATTCAAAACATATGATAGGTATTTAATTTAAAAAGCTTATAAAATTATATTATATATAAACAAAAAAAATAAAAATGAATAACTTTTTTTGTAATTTTTTTGTTTTAAATTTATAGCTGGATGTGTTGCAGGAATGATTGAACATTCAACAATGTTTCCATTTGATAATATAAAAGTATAAAATCCAAAAAAAAAAAAAAATATATAAATGTAATTGATAATTAATAATTAATAATTGATAAATTAAAGCGTTGATTATAAATATTCAAAAAAAAAAAAGACTCATGTATAAGTTTCTAATAATATGGGGTTTTTTTAAATTATAAAAAAATTGTACAATGAAGGAGGAATAAAAGCATTTTATAGAGGAATTGGACTTATAGCATGTGGTTCAATGCCTGCTCATGCTGCTTACTTTTCAATTTATGAGTTCTCTAGATTTAAATTAGGAATAAATGATGAATAACATCATCCATATTTATATGCAGTAACAGGAGCTTCTGCAGTATTTTTACATGATTTAATATTAACACCTATTGATGGTAATTAAATATAATTTTTTTTATAAAAAAAAAAAAAAAATTTTTAGTATTGAAATAAAGAAAATAAATAACTAATTAACCAATATAATTAATGCTTAAAAATATAATTTAAAAAGAAGGAATTATATCACTAGTAAGAAGTTTTCCGGTAACATATGTAATCTTTTGTTTTTGTTTTTTTGTTTTTTTTTACATATATTAATTTTATAATATTAAGATGATGAATGTTCCTTTGGCGGCAATTTTAGTTTCAACTAATGAAAGTTTAAAACTTTAAATAAATTAATAAAGTCATAATTTTTTTACTTATTTTACATGTGCAGGAATTGCAGGTTTTTTTTTGTTTTGTTTATAAAAAAATTATATATAGATATATATTTTTTTTCTTTTTTTTTTATTCTTTTTTTTTTCTTTTTTTTTTCTTTTTTTTTCTTTTTTTTTTCTTAAATATAAAATTTATATATATAGGTGGTATAGCAGCTACTTTAACTACTCCTTTAGATGTAATTAAAACTAAACTTTAGACTTAAGATTGTTATGAAAGAATTAGTTGCAATAAATGTGAAGCTATTCCAAATATATAAAATAAAAATAGAATATTAGGTTAAAAAAATCAAAGTGTGTATAATTTTGCAAAAAAATAATTCGAAGCTGTTACAAATGAATGCAAAAATGTTAAATATAACTCATTTTTATAATCACTTAAATTAGTTTGGTAAAATGAAGGATTTAATGGGCTTTTTAGAGGATTTGGATCACGTATTATTATTATTGCACCTTCTTCTGCTATTTCTTGGGCTAGTTATGAAATGATGAAAAAAGTAATTATTAAGAATAATAAGAATTTTTGAATATATTAATATAATTATTTATATTTTTTTCTTTTATATTATTATTATAAAAAATATTATTGTTATTATTATTATTATTTAATAAATAAAGACAATATATATTTAAATTAATTTATGTATAAATAATATTTTTAGTTTTTTTTTTTTTTTTTCTTCTTTATTTTTTAAATTTTTTTTATTATATTTATTCAATATATACTAGAAAATAAATCGTTAAGAAAAAAAATTAAAAGAAAAATCTTTTTAAAATTTCACTTTTTTTTTTTTGTTAATATATATATATTAATTTAAAAATATATATATATATTTATTAAAAATAAAGAATTAATATTAAAATATATATTAAATTCTTTTAAACAAAAAAAATATATATTTTTATAAAAAAAAAAAAAAAAATGACATAAGAAATAGATGATTTTGAAATAATAAAATAATTAGGAGAAGGTTCATTTGGAAATGTATACTAAGTTTTAAGAAAAAGTGATTAAAAAAATTATGCAATGAAAAAAGTAAAAATGTAGTTTTTATCTACAAAAGAAAAAGAAAATGCATTAAATGAAGTAAGAATTTTAGCTTCTTTAAAAAATGAGAATATTATAAGTTATAAACATGCATTTTTTGATTGTAAATCTTAAAGCTTATGTATAATTATGGAATATGCATAAAAGGGTGATATTTATAATTTAATTAATAAAATGAAAAAATCGAAGGAATTTTTTTCAGAAAAAACTATATGGAAGTTCGCTGCCGATATGCTTAAAGGTTTAAAATGTTTGCATGATAAAAAAATACTACATAGAGATATGAAATGCGCTAATATCTTTATTTCGGAAAATTCAGCTCTTAAATTAGGTGATATGAATGTCTCTAAAGTTAATAAAAGAGGAGATTTTGCATATACATAGACTGGAACTCCATATTATACTTCACCTGAGGTTTGGTAAAATAGGCCTTACGATTATAAGTCAGATGTATGGTCTTTTGGATGTGTGTTATATGAAATTATTACATTAAATCCACCTTTTACAGCGAAATCTATGGAAGAATTATATAAAAAAGTAACTAAAGGTGTATTTAAATCTATAAACACGGATCTATATAGCTCTGATTTGTAAAAATTTATTTCTTAATGCCTTATTACTAATCCTAAATAAAGAGCCTCTGTGGAATAACTAATATAAAATAAAAATATTGTAGAATTTTTAAACTAATAATATTTAGATGAATAAAAATAAGGAAATAATTGTAATTAACTTTTAGAAACAATTAAATTGCCTTTAAATGTAAATATGAATATATTAAATACAAGATTACCAAAAAAAGCTTTTTAAATAGATGAGATAGAATAAAATGAAAATTCTTATTTAGTTTTAAATAAAAAAGAAATATTTCAGTTATGGAAAGTTTTAATAGTAATAATATAATAAATAATAATAATAATAATAATTCATATATTTATAGAAATGAAAATAAAAAAAATAAATATAATAATAATTATAATAATAATAATAATAATAATTATAATAATAATAGCAATAATAATAATAATAATAACAATAATATAATCTTTTCAGTTAAAGAAAATTCTATTATAAATAGAAATTAGAGTAATATAGAAATTAAAAATAAAAATTATTTGCCTTATATTGCTTAGAAAAACTCCGAGAGATATATTGAGCCTATTATTACTGTTATTTAATAGAAAGATTATGGTATTAATTAAAATAATATTTTTTAGAAAAATGGATTAGATATTATTTAGAATAAAAATTTTGTTAATAAGGAAAATGAATTTGAAAAAAAATTTTAGAATAATAGAAAACTACTTAAAAAAATTATTATTGTAAAAGAAAGTCCGGTATAGTAAAAAAGATATTTAGTAAATAAAATATATTGATTAAATAAAAATACTATAATATATATAATAATTAATTATTTAAAAAAATAATTAAATGTATTATTTATTTTATTTATTATAGATATATTTTATTAAAAAAATCAATAAAATAATAATTATATATAATTAAATAATAATAAAAATAATTATATAATTAAATAATTATATTATATATATATATATTTATATTTTCATATATATTTATATAAATTTATTTATATGTTTTTTATGAATATAAAATCATATTTTTAGTATTTAAAAAAAAATTATACAAATTTTTTTTTTATTTCTTTAGTTTTATTAATTATTTTTTTTAATTTAATTTTTTTTATTTGAATTAATAATATAATTAAGTTTTTAAAATCAATAAAGAAGATTTTCATTAAAAATAATATGTAATAACCTTAAAATAGGCAAAAATTAATTGTGTAGCCATAATAATAATAGCTTTAATATCCTTAATAGCAATTCAAATAAATATAATAACCTATATTAAATTCTTAAGTTAACTAATTGTAACCATATACAATGATAAAATAATAAAATATAACATATAATAATGTTGGAAATAAGCCCAATTAAATTTTAATTCCTTCATATTAGTAATAAATTCCCCTTCAACAATAAATACCTTTATAATAGTTACCAATATAATAATAGCAATAAAATTCTTATTAAATAAACTAACAAGGAATATTATAATAGTAAATTTTCTTTAATAACTAATAACCATTATAAGTATTAGATTAGTAAAATTATCAAGGATAAACTAATAATGGAATTTAATAATAATATCATTTCATAAATACACTTTATTCGTAAACAAATTCAACTTAAAATACATTGGGAAATTCAAGAATTATGTTGTAAGAGAATAAACTTGATGATATTGATAATAAATTAAGTGTGGAAAATGAAAAATTACAATTATAATTTAAGCATTTAGAAAGTTTGGTTGAATCTTTTACCAATTTTGATAGAACAAAAAACGTTTTGGAATTAAAATAATATATTTAAAAAGTAATTTTTTTTTTTAATTTTTTGTTTATATAATTTAAAGAATTATTAATCTTTTAGAGACATTATTGATGAAATTTATGAAATTAAAATTAACTTAGAAAATGATAAAAATATGTAATAAATATTTATTTTTATTTTTAATAATTTCTTCTTTTTTAAAAAAAATAAATAAATAAAAAGGTTAGAAGATTTATATATATAATAAAAAGAATCACAATAATATGAAGAATAGTATTAAGGAACTATTTCTGGCCCTTTATTATCTTTGTAAAATTAAGAATTTTTAAAAAAATTAGAATATTTAAATGATGAATAAACTAAATTATTAAAATAAATAGATGATCTTAATTTAAATAAAAACAATTAAGACTTCTATTATGCTGAAACTAAAGACTAGATGCTTTAATAAATAAATAATTTAGAAGAAACATAAAGATAATTATAATAAGAAGTATTCTTTTATATTAATATATTTTTTTTCCTTTTAATTATTTTTATTTTAAAGGTCGAAAGCTTAATTATATAAAATTAAAAGCTTGTCGAATAATTAAGTAAAAAAGACTTTTTAAAGAATATGACTTCATGTGTAGAGAAGTAATTTATTTATATATAACTGAATTTTTTTAATCATTAATTATATTTTTTTAGCTAAAAGGGTTAACTACATAAAATCAAAAAGTAGAAGAATAAATTAAAATTAAAGAGGAAGAATTAAATAAACTTAAAGGAAAAATGGAAGTACCATTTCCTTAGTGTGGAATGGGTATTCCTATCCAAAGGATGTGAAAATGTTTATAATAGATATAATAAATATATATATATATATTTTTTTTTAATAATAATTGAAAATAATAGTATTTTTTATATATATAAAAATATATCAAATGAAAACCAAATAATAATTAATTCAATTTTTACTTAGAAATTATTTTTCTAGTCTTTTTATTTTTTATTCATAGGTTTCAATTTTTTTAATTTATTTATCAAGTTAATTAAAATTTTTTAATTAATTTTAATTTTAAGAATTATTCTTTTCATTTTTAAAATCACTTAATTTATCCATTAGTCTATCTTAATTATTTTTATGAATTCTCTCTAAATCATTAAGTCGTTCTAAAATTCTTTATTTTTCTTTATGTCTTTCATTTTGTTTCTAAGTAATATTTTATTTTAACAAAAAATAAAATAAAAAAATACTTTAGCTTCATTTTTAGTTTATTCAACATAACCCTTATCTATAGTAATATCATTTTGTTTTCCTCTTACCCTAATTGAAAGTTATGTTTTAAATTATTATTATTGTTATAGTTAATATTATTATTTTTAATTTTAAAGAATAACTTTTGCTGTTTTACCAAATGTACTATTTGAATTACGTGATAATATTTATGATGATTATTCTATTTATTTAATATCTGCGTTACTAAATTCTGAATTTATTTTATTAATTAAATAACTCTATTATTAATCTTAATCAGCTTCTGTTTTATATTCAGATACGGTTTCTTAGTTTATGATATTTTATATTTATTAAATTCTTGAAATTTCAATTTTCATTTTTCGGTTTTCCTATATTAATTATTCAACTTCATTTATTGAAATATAGTTTTTTTTAAATCTTTCATTTTCTTCTTAAAGCTTTGCTAATCTTCCATGAATATCGAATGAACTTAACCCTTTTTTCTTTAAATTGAGTATATCTTTTAAATAATTAACCTTTTATTTTATTTTATTTATTTTTTTTTAAAAAAAAGTGTAAAAAATCATTTAAAATTTATTTAATATACTTCTCTTTATAATTATTAAACAATAATTTAATTCGAAGTATTTAATTAATTTGGTTTAACTTTCATAATAATCTTTTAATATTTTATAAAAAAAAAAAAAAATATAAGATAAAATAATTACATTTTTAGCCCTATCAACAAATTTTAAAGTCGAAATTGTCTCTTCTATATTAATTAAAGATGGTGAAATATTTCCAATTACTATTGTTTTGCAATTTCCCGTTAGACTATCTTGCAAAATTCTCGTGAGTTTAGATTCTCTAAAAGGCATAGGCAATTTTTAATTACAACTTAAATTGTATATAATTTTACCTTTTATTAAAAATATTTATTTAATACTTAAAATTATAAAAATATATATATATTTACCTAAAGTTGATAATGATTAATTAATATTTTTTAATTCATTAAAATGATCATTTTAAATTATTTCGTTTTTGTTTATTTTTTCTGATCCAGCTAAATCACATAAATTTACTTTTGATCTCTAAATATAAAATATTTTTATTTGAAAATCAAAAAAAAAAAAAAAAACTTTCATTATATTTTTATTATTGTTGTTAGTTGATTCTATTGAAAATTAAAGTATTGTATGTGATCTACTACTTTTATTATTCATTTATGTTTATCTTATTTTTCTATTTTTCTCCCCACGTTTCATTAATTATATAGCATCATAATAATGAGTGCATTAATATTCAGAAAGACCCTCTATTAATAAATATGTAAATATATATATATATATATATATATATATATATATATATATATATATATATTTTATTATATTTTACCAACATAAATTCCATCTATTTTACTTTCATGAATATTTAAAGGTTTTGAATCTTATTTATCCTTTTTTTTTTTTAATTAAAAAAATATTTTAATATTGATTATTATTATTTAATCAGTTTTTTTTTTTTGAATTATAATAAGATAGTCAGAAGATTAAATAATTTTATTAAATTATTATAATAATTAATTATAAATAAATGTATTTTTAACTTGTAACAAATCATAAATTTTTTCATTATATATTTAGATAAAAGAAACATAAGTTTAAACTGTAAATAGCTCCCCTTATTATTTGTTTTCGTTTATTAAATTATATAACTCCTAAATAGTTCTGGGTATTATTCCGCAATAAAGATCATCCTATTATATCTAATGTAAAAACGTTGATTAATATTTTAATTTAAATTCGCCTAAACTTTTATTAATTTGAGTAATATTTTCGGAATCAGCTCCAAACATAGTATATGTTTTTCCTTTATTCATTATTTAATAAATTTAGTCTATTTGTATTTATGATTTTTTTTTTTTAAATACCTGAACCAGTTTAACCATATGCAAATATTGTAAAATTATATCCGTCTAATATACTCTATAAGTTTGGTTTTATTTCTTAAAAAATTTCTATTTAAGTTTAATTTTTATCAAATGCTTTATCGAATTTATATTAAAGAAAATAATTTATATCGTTAATTTTTAAAATATTATCCTATTTTTATTAATATTATTTTTATTAGTATATATTTTCGTTACTTAAGAATCGATTTCTATAATATCTTCTGGCAATTCTTCTGGTAAAAAAGGCCTTAATCTTATAAAAACTTAAATTTTAATTTTTTTTTCTTCAAAAGTTTTATCCATTTTACTTTTTTATATAAAAATAAATCAATAATTAAAAGAAATTATGTTTTGTCTAATGATTTATATATTTAAAAAAAAATTAAATTCTTAAATAGAACAAGAATAAGAATAAATTTTACAATTTTCTTTTATTTACTATTTTCAATTTTTTCTAAATTAAAATAAATTAATAATAAAATTTTAAAAAATAGCATATTAAAACAATTAATTTAAATTTTATATTTACAAAAAATAAGAAAATAAATATGTTATTATATAGATATTTTTCAAATTATATATATATTTTTTTTTTTTCATATTACTATTTTTATTTAAAAATTATATTATAATTATGTATATTTTTATATAAATATAAATAATATTATGAGATAAAAAATATAAATATATAAATTATATTTTCAATAAAATACTTTTATAATTTTTCCTTTTGCCTTTAAAGTTTCATCATAAATAATAAACGTTTAACCTATTTTAATTCTTTCAGGTCTATTCTTAAATCTCATCCTTAAATAATTTTTAGATTCTTAATCATATTTTTTTAAATTTTAAATATTTTAATTGCATTTATTTTAAGGTTCAACAAAAATGACAGGCTTATTCTGTTATATTAATTCTAAATTTAATGAAGGTTAATTAGTATTATTTTTTTTTTCTTCGTTTTTAACAATTTCTTAAATCTAAAAATTAAAAAAAAAATATATATAAATAAGAATATATGCTTAAATATAATAAAATTAAAATTTATAATCATATAAATATGTATTTAATAATATAATTATATATATATATATATATATATATATATATATATATTTATATATATATATTATGTATTTATATAATATTTTATATATTTTTTTTTTGTATATTTTTTTTTTTTTTTATACTTTTTCAATAGATTTTGTTCTTCTTAAGAATTTACTATTCATATTTTTAGAAAAAACAAATGTTTTTTCTTCTCCTATTTTTTCTCCTTATGTTGAAAATTTTACCACTTTTAAATCTACTATTTCACCTGCTTTTTTTCTCATTTCTCTTTCTAAAGATTTTCTTCTAATTAATGGTCTGTAACCTTTACCTTCTAAATCATCTTTTGTCACCATAATTTTACAACTTTATCTTATACTTTGAAAATTAACTACTGGTTAATAACCAGTTTTTATAGCTACTCTATGTTTTATACTATCGAAAAGAGATAATTCAGCAATAAACTCATAAGCAGCTCTTGGAATCAGTCGAGGATCAACTAAAACCTATCCTTTACGAATTTCGAAAGTTTTTTCTTTATCTGCTTTAACTTTAACAACACATATTTGACTGCTTTGGGCTGTTTCTACTGAAGTTTCTGCAATTATTATTTGAGTGATTTGTACTTCTTTGAAAAATCCCTTCAAAAAAATATTTTTTTTTGTTTATTTAAAACACCTTTTTAAATGTCAAACTTAAATGCGAATATTTTTGTTTTTTTATATTATAATAAATATATATATATATATATTTAAATAAAATAAAATATTAATATAAATTTTAATAAATAAAATAATTAATACATTAAAATCTGGACCAAGTAATAGCTTTTAATTAAGAACTAAATCTCCTTATAAAACTGTTCCTAGAAAAACATATTATCCATTTTTTTTATCTGTATTAATTTTAGATTTTTCAAAAGGATTATGAATAGTAAATTCAGAAAACTACTCACATTCATTATTTAAATTTAAGTCCAAAAAAGCTCTATTATCAGGAAGTTAACTCAAAAAATTTATTAAAAGTTCTATATTAACCATTGTTTTATTTGAAACCATAAAAATAGGGACTAAATCGCCTTAAGTAAATTATTCTGTGAATATTTTTGCTATTTAGTTTTATGTATAAATTACTTAGACTTATTTATTTTAGTAGTTTTAATAGATAAAATTCTTAATTTCGCATATTAAATGTCCTATATTATCACATTAAACTAAATCTATTTATGTTATAACTATAAAAAATACTAAACCAATAGAAATTGCTTATTGAATGTGGTTTTTATCATTTGGTGATAAACCCTTTTTCGCAGAAATAACTAGTTCACCGTAATTTGGTATTCTAGAGCAATAACTTTATACAAAATATTTTTTATCTTTTAATTATCCACCTTTTATTTTTTATATGTAATTTATTATAAATTCAAATTATACCTATATCTTAAAATGTTATAATTTTAGTTGCTAATTCTATCATACCTTATGGTCTTTAAATATTCAATTTTAAAATAGTATATATATATTAATGTATATGTATATGAATATATAAATATATAAATATATATATATATATATTTATATATTTATATATATATATATATTTATTTATTTATTTATACCCTAATATATTAAATGGAAATCTTGAAAGTACAGTTCCATCTGAATTAAAGCAAAGAAAAAGTTATTTTATTTAATTAGTTTTTTCCTCTTGGCTATTATTCTAAACTTCACCTTCATACATAGATTTAAAAAGAGTAGTTTTTCCACTAGCACTTTCTCCCATTAATTAAATTCTTATATCTACTGTAATTACTGACCGAGGTCTCTATTTTAATTTTACTAATGCAATTTTTCCTCTTTCTCCTTTTTTTATTTATAAGATTTAGAAATCACATTCATTTTTATTTGCTATATGTGATAATGTTTTCAAACTAAAAAAAAACTCTTCATCAATTAAGCCTAATGTATTTCCATTATCTTTTTTGTTTATTTATAATAAAATATATTTTAAAAATCTAATTAAAAATACCTTCTACTCCTATCCAATAATAACAATGATCTATACCTTCTTCAATTCTCCTAAGCATTTAACATTCAAGTTCTTATAATCTTTTTTCTTCTAATTTAATTAACTTAAGTTTGTATTCAATATTTCCATTTTTATCATCTTCAGGAGGAAGAGAATCAAAGTACTCTTCTTCATCACTTTTGTAATTATCTTTTATATATTAGAATAATTAATCTATGTCCATTTGATCTATTTAACTTGATTTTGGATTATGGTAATAACAATATTTAGTGGGCTTTAAAGCAATTTTGCTAGGTATTACATTTTACCATTTTTTGCCAATTTTATAAGTATTAATTTAATCGATTTTTTAATGATTTTCGAAATTGGATTATTTTTTTTAATTCATTTTTTTTTTTAATAAAGAAAAAATTATATTTTTTTTTTTTTTTTTAAATATATATTATGTTTATAATTTTTAATATATTATAAGAATTTATTATTAATATTTATTTAATGAGCCTATTTTTTTATTTATTTAAATAAAATATTTTTTTATTTAATTAATATCCTAAATAAACAATTATATTTATTTATTTAATATATTATAAATATTTTTTTTATATAAATTTTTATAAAATAAGATATTTTTTTTTTATTTTTTTTTCAAATTTAGTTAATAATAAAGTTATTGTTATTGTTATTGTTGTTGTTTCTGTTTTTTTTTTTTTTTTTTCATATAAAATCAATATTAAGTTTCAATATTAAATTCATTATTTTAATTAATTATAGCTGCTATCTTTCCAAAGCTCATATTTTATTAATATTATCTAATATTTTTTATATTAGGTGGATTTTTTATAATTTATTCTTAAATTATTAATTATTAATCTACTTAATTAAAAGTAGGAGAATTTAATTGTGAGTTTTCATTTTTTTAAATATATTCTTTATTAAAAGTCAAAGCTTATTTATCATTATAATATTAATTATTTTGCATTTACTATTCATCTGTAAATAATATTTTTATATTTTAACAATTATTTATGCCTTATTATTTTATTTACTAACTTTTCTACTTTCTTTTTTCTAGTATATCTCTCCATATTTTTTGTTTATAAACTTATTATAATTAGTTTTTATTTATATTATGTTAAGAAACCGATTTTTGTTTTTGTTAATTTAAACTATAATAATTTTAATACTTTTGTATTTCTTGCTTTTATTCGCCTTTATATTCAACCATAGATCCTTTTAATTATATATTAGGATAATAATCCTAAAGTTAATATATATTATTATTTTAGAGATTATAATTTTATTATTATTAATTTTAATTTTAATTTTAAAATAATTGACATGATTATCTAATACCTTCATTATTTCTTTTTTGTTAGAAATTATTATTTATTTAAGAAAGTTATTATTCATCTTAATATTTATATGCTGATAAATCGGCTGAATACCTAAGTTACATTTTTAAAGTATTATCATATACATAATTATTTGTATTTAAATTTTTATTATCTTGTATCGTGTTAATTTATTACTCTATTCCAGTAGAAAATTCTTGCATACTTAATTTATGTTTTTTAATTATTTTTTGAACATCTTCACTTATCTGAATTTAATTTATTTAATGTATAGGTCTATTTAGTGGCGGTTAATTCATGTTTGTGTTTGTTATTGGAGAATATTATGTAAAGTTATTTTCTAATTTTTAGGTTAGTGATTATAAAGTCTCTTTATTAATTTTTTTTATTTTTATTTTATTTTATTTTACATTATGTTTAAAGACTATAATATTAGTTCTGGTTTTAATGCGTATATAATTATTAACTGTATTAATTGTAATCCATTGTTTTTAATATATATTTATTAATAATTTGTTTTTAATTAATATTATAATTATGTGTATATATTTTTATTTTATTTTCTAAAGTAAAATAAAAATATATTAATTAAAAAATTATTAATACTCTTTGTTTGAAAATATACATATTAATATTAATAATTATATGATATTTTAAATAATAATTGATAATATAAAATTTATAAATTATTAATATACACAAATAATATAAAAATTATCAAATAATTGAAATATATAATTATCATTACATAATTAGATTTTTATTTATATAAAAATATTATTTATAAATTAAAAAAAAAATTCATGTTTTTTTAATATTTTATAATTTATTATTATGCCTAAATAATAAATTCTTATTGTAAAGAGCTAAATTATTAATATTTTAATAGGCTATATTTAATTTAAATATTAAATGTTTAATTATTATTAAAATTTATTTTTAGATTATATAAAACTTTTATTTTCATCTAATTTAAAATATATTTATATTCTTTGGATTTTAATTATAATATTTATAATATAAAATTAATATATATTTTAATTTTATTGTCTTTTTTATAGGAAAAGATAAAATTAAAATAAACTAAAAAAAGCATATAAAATATTAAAGTGCAAATTAAAAATATTAATAATTATAAAATGAGTTAACAATAAAACTTAGAACAATTATCAAGCTCTGATAAATTATCAAATGATTAAATATCATATAATTCAGAAATAAATGGAATTCCTAATCCAAAATTTAAAACAGCATTATGCAAAGCTTATTTAAGTATGAATATAATTTTTTTTTTTACATTTTAAAAAACTATTAAAGATAATTAATGTAATAGAGATGAAGGATGTCATTTTGCACATGTAAATATAATTATTTAAAATTAAAAAAAAAAAAATTCCAAAAAAATAGGGGGCTGAAGAATTACGTTCTGTATAAGAAGTAAAAAGCAAAACTAAATATTATATTTTTTAATATTTAAAAAGAACTAAGGATTTTTTGAAAGTTATGATAAAACAATTGAATAAAACATAAATTTTTGGCCATCAAACATACCAACAAATTGTAAATATAAATATAAATACTTGTTTTTTATATTTTTTTTAAATATAAAGATAAATCTACTATGTGTAAGTTTTATGAATAAGGTATTTTATTTTATTTTTTATATTATATATTAATGTATATATAAAAGTCGGTACTTGTAAATATGATTAAAATTGTAACTTTGCTCATGGTGATCATGAAATTAAATTTGTATTTATATAAATATAAACAAAAAAAATTATTATATATTTTTAGGTTCCTGATAGAGTTTAAAAGAAATTAAAGTTTTCTAAAAATAATTATATTCATGTAAATAATAGTGCGGGATAAAGGCTTTAATAATAAGCTTATGTTTAATAATAAATGATTTATTAATAATTTTTGCAATAATATATGATGTAGAATTAATTAATTTCTTAACATAAATTAATTTAAGATTTTTGTGATAAAATAAGAAAATAGTCTAGTGAAGAAAGTGTAAAGAAAAGTTTGCATGATATTGAAGAATTAAATAAATAAGGCAAATTTAGATAAGCTCTAACTTAATTATAAAGATTATGTTCAAGGAAAGAATCAAGTTTAAAAGAATAAGAATTATTAAAAGAAATAAAAAAATGTACTTAATCAAGTTGAAAAAAAAAAAATTATTAAAATATAATACAAATATGTATTTTTTCATAATTTTAATATTTTAGAGTAAAGAAAAAAAATATAAATTATTATAAAAATTAAAGTTAATAAAATATATATATATATTTTTATTTATATATATTAATTTATATTCAATATTATCATAAAATTTATTTATATAAGTTATTAAAAAAAAATTATATTTAAAAATTTATTTATTTAATATTAATAATATTTAATATATATTTTTATTTTTATTTTATTAGTTTTTCTTCAATTATTTTAAAGCTTTGATTATTATTAATTTATTTATAAAGGCATCTATAAATATTAATATTTTTAAATTTAATATTTTTTTTTTTACCTATTATTAAGAATTATTTGCTATTTATTGATTATTATTTTAATTAATATTATTTTCTTAATTACTATTATTTTACAAATTAGAGTTATATATTTCTATTTTATCTTATTATTTTCTTTTAGTAAAATAGTCTTATTTAAGTTTACTCATTCCTTCTTTTAATCTATTATTTTCAAATTCAAGAATATTAATCTATTTTTTTAAATATGCTTTTTGATATTTTTTTTTTAATATATTACTTATTCTCTTGTATTTTTAATTTCAGCTAACATTTTTTTCATTTATCCTGTTTTTTCTTTTAAACTATCCTTATAACTGACCAATTATTAATGTATTTCAGGTCCAGGTTATCTAGCTAAAATGCTTTTAAGTTCCATAAAAAGTTTTTCTTTTTCTTTAATTAATTTTTCTTTTTCTTAAACCTAATTTATAGATTTAAATATAAAAAAAAATATATATAAATAAATACTTCTTCCGTTTTTGCAATAAGTCTTCTTTATAAAGTTTAAATTTTAAGAATTCTTTCAAAATTATCTTAATCTGTGGCTTCTAATTTTCTCCATCTATGTACATTAAGAGGATTCTCTAATTCATCTTAAAGAGCTTTAATTTTAGTTTTTTCAGCCAAAATATCTTTTTATAATAAATTAATTTCATTCCTAAGATCAGGAATACAAGATATTTATTCCTAAGTATTTTTCAGTTCATTAATAACTAAATTAAGTTCGTTTTTAAGACTTTGAAGTTCTAATTATTTTTCTCTATAAAAAATTTCGCCTTTAGTAAGATTACTTTATTATAATTTAATTTTTTCTTCTAAAACTTTTAATTCTTAATTTCTTTTAATCAATTAAGTACTTAAAATATCTCTTTCATTAACGACCATTTCTAAGTCTTTTTAAAGTCTTTATTATTCGGCTTTGAGTTCTTAGATAGTATATTTTAGCCTAGATATATGATTTTCTTGATTTTTTATCACTTCTTCAGTGGATTTGATAGCTTTCATAACTCTTTCTTTTTCAAGTTCTGTTTTTTATTTTCTTCGACTATTTTATTATATTCAAAGTCTTAGTTTATTAATTCATTGTCTTTTTATTTAATTTCTTCCTTATATTAATCTACTAATTATTTATTTCGTTTTTTCTTTTCTTACAATTCATTTAATTCTTTTTTACATTCTAGAAGATTTTTAGAATATAAATTACGATCTGATCTTACTGCTTCATATAAATGTTATTAATGTTTTAATTTGGCAAGAATTGCATTATTTTTTTATTTTTATTCTGCTATTTGGTTAATCTTAATTTTTACTTCCTCGCATGTCTAGTAATATTTTGCATGTGCTTATGTTGCTTCTATTCCGTATTTTTCTTACTCTTTTTAGAGCTATGTTATCATTTTGGAAAGTTTTTCGTTTTCGACTTCGTAGCCTAGAATTTAATTTTCTATTTTCTTTAATTTATTTAATAAATATATTATATCTTCGTCCATAAAATGTTCATCGTCTTCAGCTTTTTTTAAATTTTTATTATTTTAAGTACGTTCCTTTAATCCTCCGTCTATTTCGTCCTTTAGTTTATCACGAATTTGTTTTTGCTTTTCAACTGCATCTTGAATGATTTTTTATTTTTCTTCATAATGGTCAGCATCCATTTATTCCTCTTCTCTTTCTTGTATTAATTTATTTAATAATTTTCTTATTTTATCTTATTCTCTTCTTTATTTTTCGAGATTTTTCTAAGATTCTATAATTGTTTCTTCTAATTTTTTTATACTTTCGGTAAATTAATCAATTTCTTTTTATTCTTTCTTTTTTTTTTTTTATTTTTTTTTTTTATTATTATTTTTTTACTATTAAATTTTCATCTGCTTTTTTTTTCTTTTTTTCCTCATCTTCTAATTTATCTTAAATCCATTTTCTTTGTCCCCTTACTAAATCTTTAGTTTACTAACGATTTTATTTTGTGGCATTTATTGATTTAACGCATTCTTGTTCTGTTTATAATTTATCATTTTAAAGTTTTTCTAAATCTTTTTTAGCTTTTTCAATATCTTATTTAGTTTATTCCATTGATAGTTTCATTTCATCTGTTTTTTATTAATTTTTTAAAGTTAAAAGCTTAATTTAATCCAAACTTTAGGTTAAATCTTTCATTTAATTTAAATATTGTTCATTTAGTTTTTAAGTATCTCTTAATGAATCTTCTAATATTCTACTTGTAGTTTTATTTGTTTCCATTTCTTATAATTGCTATTTTAATTCTTTTTTAATTTTTTATTTTGTTTTTAAATATATAAAAAAAACAGAATTTAGAAAAAATTACTTGATTCTATATCTGATTTTAAAGAAATTAAATCCAATATTGTTTTTTAATTTTCATCATTTACTTTGATTAATCTTTCATTTATTTTACCTTAAAGCTTTATTTTATTTTTTAGGATTTTTTAATTTATTATAAAAATAATTTATATTATCTATTACTTCAATTATACTAATTCTTATTTCTTCAATTCTTATTTATGTTAATTCCTATTAATCAATATCTTATTATATTAATTATTATTTTCTTTATAATTCCTATTTAGAAAACTGAAGGTTTTCTTCATTTGCTTTAATCATTTTATTTATACTATCTAAGCTTGCTTAGCAAATTGTTATTTCTTCTGCTGTTTATTTCATTCTTTTTAGAAAATTTATATATATATATTTATATATATATATATATTTATTTAAATTTATTTATATTTATAAATATTATTTTATTTTATTACTTTTTGGATTATTCATTTTCTATATTTATGTTATCTTTAAATGATTTATAATAATTTTCGTATTAAAATCTAAATTCTCTTAAATCAATGTTATCGCCATAATCTTTTATAAAATCAAAATAATCTTTGTTTATTTATTAAACCAAATTTATATCTGTAGTATTTTATTCTATTTCTTTTTTTAATTGCATGAATGACTATCCGTCATTATCTTTTTATTTGTGTTCTTCATATTATTGCTAATTTTATTATTATGATTATTATAGTTATTGCATTTTTTTATATTATTTGAGTTTTATCTATTTATAAAGTAAATATAAATTATTTAAATTTAAAAATATATTTTATAATATTTTTTTAGGTTTTTTTTTTAAGGTTTTTGCAATTTTTTTTTAATTTTTAATTTTTATTTAAAATTAAATTATTTATTTATTTATTTAAGAATATAAAAATATATTCATATCTTATTTATTTATTATTAACTTAAAATTATTGATGAATATTTATATTTGACATTAAATAATATATTTCTTTGTTAGTTTTAATTTATATATATTTTTTAATTAAATTTTTATTATATTTATTAATTAAATAAAATAAATTGATTTATAATATTTAATAATAAATATTTTATATTTTTTTTAATTATTTTTAACAATAAAGAATTTATTTATATGATATATATAATATACACAAAATTTCAATATTAGAAAATAAATAAAATAAAATAAAATAAATAAATAAAATAAAATAAAATAAAATAAAATAATACAATACAATATATTATCTTTAATATTATTTGCTTTTATGTATTTTTTTTTTTCAACAAAATTTGTTTTGTTATTACAAATCTATAATAAACCCAATATTTAAAGAATCTATCTATATTTAATATACTTTAAATAAAAATATAATAAAAAATCAAATAAATATTATTATTTTATATACAAAAAATTTAAATAAAAAATATATAATAAAATCGTTTTGCTTTTGATAATACGTATAAATTAAAAATAAAAATTTAAAATTTAAAATGAATAAGTTTTTCAAAGGTTTATATAATTAATTTATAAAGCAATTATCCCCAATAGAGAATTTATTAAAAAATACTTGCTTTATAAAAGATAATTTTGATTAACTTAATTACGAAGATATACAAAAAATCATGTCTTTTCTGAAAGGAAATCAAAATTTATAGCCAAACAATTAAATAATTTAATTTTTTTAATATTTTAATAATTAAAACCGCATCGAATTTTCTCGAAGGTTAAAGTTTTTAGTTTTAATCCATAAAAATATAAAAAAACTAGGGAATGTTTTTGCTTAACATTTTTTAGAATATAAGCCTATTATATTACGTGAGAAGCTTTTCAAAGAAAATGGCTTAAAAGAAAATAAATATAATGTATCTAATTATTAACAATTAGAAAATTGGATAGATGAATATTTATTAAAGCCTTATTATGATTATTTAATGAAATTAGCTTTAAATTATGATATATATAAATATTGCTTAGAAGGCGTTAATAATGATTATTCTATTAATAATTACAATATAATTATTTTGTTTAAAATAATTAATATATTGAATTTCCTATTATAATTGAAATAATAATTCTTAGTAATATTTAAGAAATTTGAATTTTTATCAATTATTAAAAATATTTTATGTGTTTTATTAAAAGACTGTATTATTTATTATAATTATTTACATGAATAAATAATGATATTGTTAAATATTTATGATAATTTAAGTGAATATGAACAAATGCAATTTTATGAGCTTTTTATTGAATTGATTAGACTTAATTCTTAAATATATGAATTTAGAAAATTACGCAAGGATTTTTATTATTATAATTAAATTGATAATTTATTGATGATAAATATTTCTAAAGAAAAAGTTAGATAAATAGATAAAAATTAACTTAAATTAATACTCAAAAACGAATAATATTAAAATAATAGAAAGAAAGAACTTCGATAATAATTTAATAGTATTTAACATAAAATATAAACCACATCAAACCAAAGAAAAATTACCTTTTTTCCTAAATAAAGCTGTTTAACCTCTAGATAAATAGATTGGAAATAATAATCAGATTAAATTTGTGAGGAAACAAAGGAAAACGATGAGGATGAAGAGCAAGAACAAGAAAAAAAATTAAAAAAATTAAAAAAAGTCATATTCTAAAATGTAAATTATGACATAAAATATAATTAAAATAATTTAAATATAATGGAGAATATGTGTTAATATAATTAAAATGAATATAATTAAGACACTAGATAACATTATTTTACAGATAGACAGATATAAAATTATTCTAATTAAATTAAAAGTGATGAAAATATTAAAGAATAAGAATAATAATGAAATTTCAATTAATTTTATAAATAATTATAGTGAAATAAGATAAATACCATAACATTTTTTATCCTTAAGCGAATATCTTATCAAGTTTTTTTTTTTTTCCAAAAAAAAAGTCCTTAAAATCAAAGCCTAATCAAAAAATTAGAAATAAAAGTTTAAAAGTATTTGAAGTGCTTCCGTATTTTTTTAAAAAATATAGTTTTTATTATTTATTATTGTTATATATCAACTTAATTTAGCTTATAATTAAAAAAATATATGTATTAATTTTAAATAAAATAAAAAAAATACTAGCTATATGACCTTAACTAAGGATAAGCAAAGATTTTATGGTAATTCATTTTTTAAATTAAAAAAAATATAACTTTAATTTGTTAATTAAAAATTAACTTTTTTTACATAAATATAAATTAATTTAATGTTTAATATATTAAATCTATAAAAAATTTATTATTATAATAATATATAATTTATTATAAAAAAATTCAATATTATTATTAATATAATTAAAAAAACAATTATTAATCTTAATGATTTTAATAAAATTATAAACTTTGATTTTTTTTTAAAAAAAATATTAGAAATATTTATATTTTTTTAATTAATATTAATATATATATATTATTAAAAATAAATTTATTAAAATTAATAAAATATTCTAAATAAAATAATAAAATTAATAAAAAATAATATATATTAATACATAAATAGATAATAATAATAAATGAATCTTTTGCCAATTTAAAAACTATTAATTGAATAGAGAATTATTGAGCATAATAAAGAAAAATCAAATGATAATTAAAATAATGACAATTTTTATAAATAAAGTATAGATAATTATGAATAAAAAAACTAAGATAATTAAGATTAATAAAACTATTAAAAAATTTATATTAAGAACTTATCCTCTGATATGCTGAACATTATAAGAAAATGTATTTTTGTAGCTTCATCTAAATGGGAGACATAAATAACTCCAAATCAATACCTAATAATAAGAAAAAGATAAAAGCAAAAAAATTAGCCTAGATTATTAGATGATATTGGGTAAATTACTGAATAAAAGTCTGTTAAATATTAATTAGATTTAAGCAATAAGAAATGTATAGCTATAAAATAAAAAAATAAAAATTATAATTATTTTTTTATTTAAATAGAACCAAAATAAATTTAAAAAAGTCAAGATTCTTAAATTCTTAATTTTGAAAAAAATATTCAAAAATAGACATAATGTAATTAAAATATTTATTTATTTTTAAATGAAAAATTATATATTGACTAGATTAAATAAATGAATTGTAATTAAATTAAAAAAAGGCTTATAAATAAATGAATAAAATGCAAACAGAGTAATTAGATAATGAATTCATAAATAAATTATTAGATATGTAAGTTATTAATGATTAATGGAATATTAATAATGAAAAAGTATAAACTGAACTACAGCAATAAGATAATTTTTAAACAATTTCATAAAAACGATCTTCTTATTAAAGTAATAAAAAATATATATAAATAATAATTCTCTTATTTTTTTAAAAATAAAATAAAGCAATTATAGAAATACCATAATGTTTAAATAATTAAAGTAATTAGTAAGAATACTAACCAAAAAAATAAAAATAAAGTAATTAAAAGTCAATAAGAAATTAATTATTGCATAATAAAAACAATAGGAAACGTTTTTTAAATTTTCTAAAAATAAACAAATAGAAATTTCCTCCTAAAAAAAATGAAAATTTATAATAAGAAATGTCTACGTCTGAAATAAACAAAAATATAGAAAATATTTTAGTTTAAAAATAAAAATGTCTTTTATAAGAAAGCAATAAAGAAATATTAGAATAAAAAAACAAATAATAAGCGAAATCATAATAACCCATATAAAATAGTTGTTAATAAACTATTTCTAATATTAAATAGATTTAATAATTTTAAATGGCTCCTATAACATATAAGCTTATTTATACCTAAAGTAAGGTTAAATGCTATTAAAAAAAAGAAGAAAAAAAAGAGGAGAAAAAAGAATATAAAAAACTAGATTTGAAAAATATAAAAGCTAAAGTGAATTCTTATTTGAATTATTAAAGTTAAAAACAATTTGTTAATGATATAAATAAATAAGAAAATGAGAATGAAAACGATGTTAGTTTTTATTATTTAAACGAATTGTTTAAAGAGAAAGACATACGAGAAGTCTAAAGAAAAACTTCGAAAAAAAGTTATTAAATAAAAAATATGAATTTAAATAAAGAAGATAAGTAAATATCTATTTTAGGTTAAACTTATTCGATATATTTTGATTTAAATAAAATAAATAAACTTGATAAAGATTATTAATTCGGAATAAAAATGTCAGCCTATAGAGATTTTTGTTAATCCATTAATTTCTCAAACGGAATATATATGTAATTAAATGAAGAGAAGAGTAGACCTATTTATAAAGCTTTTGTAGGAAAAGGGAACAATTGTTTACTTATAAGAATGGTAATTAAATAAAGATGGTGGTGGACAATAACAGATAATAAAGATGATCAAAATATAAATTTATATTGGACATAATTAAGAAAAAATAATATTTTGGATACTCTAAAAAGTCTAAAAAATGAAAATTATCAATAAAAAAAATCATCATTGGCTATTGAATCTTCAAAAAACATTCAAAGTGAAAGTATTGATGAAAGTATGACAACTTCAAATAGTTCATCAAATAATATTATTGGGAAAAACTAAAAAAGTGAAAAATAAATAAATAAAAATTAAATTTGTTTGAACAAAATTTTATCGAATAATGATTTTTTACAATTGGATTAAATTTTTAAAAATAGACTTAAGAAAAAATACAATAATTAAGGTTTATCTAATTTAACTTTTGTACAGTAATTAAATAAAGATGTTTAATTTAAAGTTTATAATGATGTTAGTAATATGAAAATACATAATCATTTATAGGATAATTTCCATTTAAGTAATAAAAAAGCTCTATTCTATAATATGAAAAATTATTATGAATCTCTAGGGTAAAATTTGTTTGATTACTTACCTTTAACATTTCATATTCAATAAGGAAAAAAAGATAAGGAATATATTAAATTTGTTAACTATTTTAATTAGATTAAAGATTAATAATAGTAATAAGGGAATATTAAACCTTAGTAAAATGTTTGGATTGTAAAACCAGGAGAAATTACGAATAGAGGAAGTGGTATTAAAGTACTTTAGGACCTTTAATAGATTGAAAATATTATCGAATCTAATGAGTTTCATAAAAGTGGAATGTAAAAAACTTACATAATTTAAAGGTATATTGAATATCCGCTACTTTATTATAAAAGAAAATTCGATATTAGATGTTATTATCTTCTTACGGGTATAAATGGAAATCTAAAAGGTTATTGGTATTCGGAAGGATATATAAGAACTGCTTCTAAAGAATTTACTATTAAAAATTTAGGTATTTATATGTATATAGATTATATTTTTATAAAAGTTTTTTTTATTTTAGGAAAAATGATTCATTTGACAAATGATGCTATTTAAAAAAAAGATGATTAATACGGAAAATATGAAAAAGGAAATAAAGTTAGTTATGAAGAATTGGAAAAATATATCAATTAGTTTTATAATAATTATGATTTCTAAAATGATGTCCATAATTAAATGAAAGTAGGTTTATTTCTTTATTTATTTATAGTTTATATATATAAATACATAGTTTATTGTTAAAAATATTTAATATTATTATATATAATATAAGAATACTTTATAATTTTTTTATTTTTTTTTTAGTAAATTGCTACTGATACTATAAAAGCTGTCTATGGAAAAATAAATCCTGACAAACTGGAAAATACTTTAGAAATTTTTGGATTAGATTTTATGATAGATGATAATTTTAAAATTTGGCTTATAGAAGTCAATACTAATCCAGCTTTAGAAATATGTTGCCCCCTTTTAGCAAGAATAATTCCTTAAATGATTGAAAATGTATTTAGGTATGTAATATATAGAAAAAAAAAATATATATATATTAATATATAATAATATATATAAATATGTATATATATAAATATATATATATATATATTTACATAAATATATATATATATATAAATATATATATATATATTTATATGCAAATAAAAGAATTGCAATTGATCCTATATTTCCTTTGCCTAATAATACTAATTCTAAAAATTTTAACATTGATAATTATTTGGAAAATAATAAATTTTATCTAATTTTTGATGAAAAAATAGATGCTATGTCTATTAAAATGACCGGAAAAGATAAAAACTTAAATTGTAATATTTTTAATTTAAATTTATTTATTAAATAAAAAAAAAATTAAGGGTAAATGATTGAAGAAGAATAAAAAGAAAATGAAGAAGAAGATTAAGATTGTAATGATGAAGAATGATTATAATAATAAAATATAAATATATATATATATATATATATATATATATATATATATATATATATATGATATATATATATATATTTATATTTAATTTATCTTAAATTTATTTATTTATAAAATAATATTTTAATTATATTAAATGAAATAATATATATTTTATCTTTTTTAAGTTGTTAAGGTTATTTATAGCAAATATTGTATTTATGATATAAAGCATCGATGGTTTAATGGTAGAATAGAGCGTTGCCATCGCTTTGACCCGGGTTCGATTCCCGGTCGATGCATTTTTTTATTTATTAAAATATTATTTTTACATAATTTATAAATTATTATTTATAAAACATAATTTTATATTATTATATTTGTGATTATAATATTTTTTTAATATTTTCATTTTAATAAAAATATACATATATATATTTTTTTTTTTGTATTAAAATATATACATTATCATATTTTACATTTTCTATTGTTTTTCTTTATTTTTTTTTCTGTAATTTTTTTATTAAACTCAATCATAAAAAAAGGCTATTAAATTAAGGATTTTTATTTTTTCTAGAAAAAGGAAATTAAAAGCGATTAATTTTAATATAGCAATAGAAGAAAATACATTTTTTAATAAAAAAATGGATATATAATCGCTTTTCATTTTTCGATTAAGTTTTTTTTAAAAAAAATAATAGAAAAAATTAAAAGAAATGTAAGTAAATAATAATATTATAATATTTAAATAAATTCTACAATATTTTATGATCATTTTTTTTTTATAAAAAAAATTATTTATGAAAAATAAAATTAATTATATTAATTTTATAATGTAAAACAAATTTATATTATAATTTATAGTAAATTAGAAATAAAAATATTTATTAAAATATTCATTGTTTATAAAACATATTAAATATAAATAACTATAGATTTTTTTTTCTTTAAAATTAAAGAAATAAAAATCCTTGCTTTTAAAAAAAAAAAAATATAAAATAAATCAATAATGGTAGACACCAAATTAATTTTAAAAGATAAGTAAAAACTAAATAATATTACAGAATAAATTTTTAAATAAGTGGATATAAATAATTCAGGTTTCATTGAAAAAAATGAATTAGAATAAATTATGGTAGAAGTTACTTCTGAAATTGGAATTGATAAACCAACAAAAGAAGAAATAGAAGAAATTTTAAAAGAATTAGATGATGATGATGATGGTAAATTGTCTATTAAAGAACTTTATAAACATATAATTAATATTCTTTAAATGTTCGAATATGTATGTTAGAAATGATAATATAGTTTTTTATTTTTATTTATAAAAATAACAAAATACAATAAAAAATAATAAAATAATATATTATTAAACACAATATTTGCTATATTTCATATTATTGATCATAACTAATAAAAAATATTAAAAAGTTGTTTATTTTTAAATAAAATAAAAATATTTATTTCAAAAGGTTTTATTAATCTAAGCAAAATATAATAAATAATAAAATAATTAAAATGTAAAAAATTAGATAATATTAATAAATAAATATGTATAAATAAAATTATAATTATAAATAAAAATATAAAGAACATTTTTTTAATATTTAATTATAATTATAAAAAAAAATATTATAATTATAATTATAATAATAAAAAAAAAAAAATATTTTATATTATTAAATATATATAAATATATTAATATAAATATAAAAATTATTAAATCTACTTATTATATATTTTTTATAGGAAAATTATTTTTTTATAAATTTTCTACATAATATATTGGTCGAATTATATGTGCTTTCTCTTTAGTTTTTTTTTAATTTCATAATTTTTACTATCTTTTTAATCAATTTATTTATTAGATAAATTTTTTATAACTTAAATTATTTAATTTTTTAATAAGTAAATATATTTATTAAATATTGTTCATTTTTCTCATTTTTTAAATTTTATCTGTAAATTTATTTAGATTGTAATTATTTTTATAAGGCATTAATTCAATTTTTGTTTAAATTTTGTTATTACACTCTTCCTTTTTATTAAATATATTTATAATGAAAATAGCTTTGTAAGTATATTTATTTATGCTATATTTTTCATAAACTTGCAAATTTTGTATTTATTACTATTTAGGAAGTGTTTGGATTATAATATTTATTCCTTTTTACAATACTGTTTTCTTTTTAAAAATATACATACATATAAAAAAAATATATATAATTACAATAATTTTAAATACACGTGAAAATAATATTTATATTTTATCATGAATTTTTTTATTTTAAATAAAAAAGCAAAAAAATATAGTTTCAGATAAAAAATGATTTAAAAATAAATTATTTTTTTATTTATATTTATATATAAAATTATAATTAAAAAACATAAAAATAAATTAATTTACATTTTATTATGTAAATAGTATAGTTAAAATAAAATGTGCGATATCTAAAAAAAAATTATTATTATATTCATGCATTTATTAGTCAAAAAAGCTAATCAAACAATAATTAAATAATAATTAATTAGTTTATAATTAAAGAATTTAAGTTAATAATAATAATAATATAAATACAATAATAAATTAATAAAATCAATATATATTATCTAAAATTAAATAATCGTATTTTATTAAACAATAATTTTAAGTTTATTTTAGATTTTCTTTTATTATAATATTATTTATAATTAAATTAATTATTATTTAAAAATATTTTTTTTAAAATATTATTATTTTATTTAATTTTAATTTATTATTTAATAAAAATTATTTTATTAACAAAAAAATGATAAATAAAAAACAAAAAAATTTTAAAGAATTTTTATTTTTTTTTAATTTAAAATAATATTCAAATTAAATATCTTTTATAATCAGCTTTTTCCATATATTATTTAAGTTTTTTTTCTATAAATTATTAATCAATAACAATGTCTTTATTTTCTAAATAAGGCGCATCAAATGATATTTATTCTAAACATTTTTCTATTAGTTCATGTAATCTTCTAGCTCCAATATCTTCATAGGACAAATTTGCTTATTCAGCTAATTCAGCCATTTTTAAAATTGCATTATCTTTGATATTAACATTAACTCCTTCTTATTTAAGTAATTCTTTTTATTACATAAGTACATTATATTTCGGATATTTAAGGATTTTATAAAATTCACTTTTTTTTAACTATTAAAGTTCCACTCTAATAGGTAATCTTCCTAATAATTCAGGGATTAAATCGGAAGGTTTATTCATACTGAAAGACCCAGCTGCAATAAATAATATATGATCAGTTTTGACATCTCCCCATTTAGTATTTACAATTGTTCCTTCAATTAAAGGTAATAAATCTCTCTATACACCATCTTAAGAGGGCGATTTTTGTGAATTTATTGTATTTTCGTTAGTTGCAATTTTATCTATTTCATCTATGAAAACAATTCCTTCTTCTTCTACTTATTTAAGTGCATTTTTTTCATAGTTTACGGCTTAATAAAGGGATTCTTCGTAGGTTTGGAGAAGTTATTATTTAGCATCTTTTAATTTTAAACGAGTAATTAAGTTTTTGGGATTCAAACCAGGTTTAAAGGACTTTAAATAATCAATAAATTCCATAATTGAATCAAAATCATTTTTTTCGTATAAATTTGGAGGAATTTCAATTGTAATTCTACGATCATTCATTGCTCCATTTCTTATATCGCCTTTTTTTTTATTTATGATTTATTCATTTGAAAAATTTGGGCCTAATAAACTTTCAACTAATTAATTAATTACTATTTCTTCAATTTCTTTTCGAGCCAAATCAACTTATTTTTTATGGTTAACTTTCGCGTTTCTTACTGCTGTACGGACTAGATCTTATATTATTTATTCAACGTCTTTCCCATGATAACCGATCTCAGTGTATTTTGTAGCTTCTACTTTTACAAATGGGGCGTCTGTTAATTAGGCTAAACGACGGGCTATTTCTGTTTTACCAGATCCTGTGGGACCGATCATTAGTATGTTTTTTGGACATACTTCCTTTTTTAAATCTTCGGGAAGACCTTGACGACGCCAACGATTTCGGTAGGCAATTGCGACTGCTCTTTTTGCTTATTTCTAGCCGATTATGTATTCGCTTAGGTAGTCAACTACCTCTTTAGGAGTCATTGATTGTTTTTTTTGGCAGAATTTAAAAATGGATTTGTAAAATAACATTTTTATTATTTTGGTTTTTTTTTTTTTTTTTTTTTTTTGATGAAATTGCTTTTTATATATTTTTAACTTTTTTTTTATTTTTAAATATCTTTTTTTTTTTATTATTATTATTTATTTGTTCCTTTTTTTTTAGATTTATATCATTGTTCGTTTTTTTGTATTTTTTTTTTTATATTTATTTTAATATATTATAAAAGTTTTATTTTTATAATATCTCCTTATCCAACCATATTCATAGTAATAATAGCGAAATAAGTAGAATAAATATATTTAATATAGAAAGATTTAACTAATAAATGAATCGCATTTTTATATTTAATTAATATCATTAGAGCCTGTGTAAACCAAGTTAGCAAATATAAATAATCAAATAAATCAATTTTACAAATTAAAATATATTTAGAAGCTTTTATTAAGTTAGGAAATGATATTCCATTTTATTCAATATGATTTCCATTTTTTTTTTTTGTTAAATATAATAATAATATGAATGAAAAACAATTATTGCCTATTTATCCGAAAATTGACTGTAAATTTAATTATAGACTTCAAAGAATTGGGCAGAGCCTCATACTTTATAGTAGCCAGTATTTATTCATATAAAAATTCTAAAAGACAAAAATATCAATTGAATATTTTTCTTAATATTTTCTTTTATTTTATAATATAATTGGTATTTTTAAAATTATATAACTTGAAAAATTAAAAATTTATTAAAGAAATTTGCTTTAATTTACAAAAATAAAATACTATTAATTTCAGTATATTATTTATCAAATATTATTAAATTTTTATTATATATATATATATATATATATATATATATATTTTAATAAATAAATAAAAATTGTATAGAAAATTTTTTATAATATTATCAATAATTGAAAATATAATTTTTATTAGCTTTCTTTACAAATATATTGAAATTACAATTTATTTAATTTTAAATGTTTTATGAGATTAATATATAATAAAAAATATATACTATTAAATAATATGAAGAATTTATAAAATTGAATTAATTTAAAATTATTTTAATGCTTTATTTAAAATGTAAAAGTAAATATTTTAATTTTATCATTAAAATAAATTTTATATTTATTAAATTATTTAGTATCCAATTTTTTTGTCTCCCTATTTATTTTAATTATATTAATATTTATTAATAAATATTATGTGTTTACCTTTTTTTATTATAAAATAATAATATATTAATCTTTTTTATTAAAGCTTTATTTTATATCGATTTTTATTTAAAATAATATATTATTTTCATCAATCATTTTTAAAATTATCTATCAATAAAATAAAAAATGTTAATATTATTTTATTTAAAATAAAAATACTTTAAAATAGTCTTCTTTTAATTATATTTATTATACATGTAAGTTATTTTCTAATTAATATAATATTTACTATATTATATTCAATATATTATCTTAATATTCAAATTATAAGTCAATTAACGAAATATACTCTGAACTGTATTATTAGAATTGTCTATTATTTAAGAGATATGATTACTAATTAATTTATTTATTTTATTAATTTTAAGACCTTACATTTATTTTTTTATATAATATTGATTATTATTTTTTTTCATATCCCAAACTATTTTCATTACAATTATTTTGGGATTATTTTATCTATCTTATTTATTAGATTTTGCTTCTCATATATTACTTCACTTCGTTTTAATTTATTTCTTCTTTTAACCATTCATGGGAAAATATTTCAGAAAGTGAAATTCTTTATAAAGGATTTTTCAAAAGCATGCTTTAAATAAGTTATTATGCTTAATTTGAAATTTAATTATTTATATTTTTTTCCCAATATTAATTTAAAATATCGTCTTTATATATTTTAGTATTCACAAAAGGATACTTTCCTTCAAGCATTGCAAATAATATTACTCCAGCAGAAAAAATATCTATTTATTAACCATTGTATATTTTATTCTCAATCATTTAAGTTATTTCTGGGGCTGAAAATTAAGTGATTGAGTTTGATATGTAAAGATTTTTATCTTATGTACTTTTTGTGTGCGCTAAATCACATATTTTTATATCGAAATTTTCATCCAATAATAAACTGTCTGTTTTTAAATTTCTATGGTATAATTCCAATTTATAATGTAAATAAGAGAGACCTTTTTTTATTAAAATAATATTTATTAAATTTTATAGAATTAAACCTTAAATTAATTGTTTAAAATAATATTTAGCAACTTTTTCTTCTAGAGGACCTTAAAAATATAATATTTCATTAAAATTTCCATATGGACAATATTCAATTACTATTGCATTTATTTATATAGATTAAATGTTTTAATTAATCATTTTTACTAAAGTTCCCTTTTTTATACATTCATAAAATTTTATTATCGAATTACTATTTGCATTTTCTAATTATTAGGCTTCATTTTCAAAATTTTGTATTTAATTATTATTGAATAACTTAATTGCGAATTTCTAATTTGTATTTATATTTGTACACAAGTAAATTCTAAAAATTATAAATTTATTTTAATTTATATACATTTAATTAAATATTTATAACTTAATTTAATTTATATATATATATATTACTTCGAGGTAAGACTAATGGATATCTTTTTTCTAAGAATATATTTGTCGTTAATTATTTTTTAGTTGTTTTATTACATTAATTTATTTAGTTTTTTTTTAGTTTATGATAAATTAATTTTTATTATTATATACTTTTATTTTTATTTTTATTTTTATTTTAATTTTAATTTTATGTTTTTTTTTTTTTTTTTTTTTTGATTAAGGATAATTTGTTATTTATTTATTTTTAGTTTAGGTTGTTTGATACTAATACAAGCAGCTAGGTCTTTTTTTTTTATCGATTCAGGCTTTTTATATATTATTTAAAAGGAAAATTGAAAATAAAGTCTTTATAGGTAATTTAAATCAAATAAGTCTTAATATATAATTATATAGATATAATTAATATATAAATAAATTTTATTAATCCTTAAAAATTTTAATCTATATTATTTAGCTTCATTTTATAAATATAGAAAATTTATAATTGATGACATAAATAAAAAAAAAAATATATATTTTAAAAATAAAAAAAATTATATTTACAAAATATATATAAAAAAAAAAATATAAATGTTAAATAATATTATAAAAATCCAAAAACATTTTAATTTATTTTTTTCAATGAAGAATTAATACTACTATTTTTCTTGTAAATATCTTTTTTTATTTATAAATTCATATTATATAAATTTATTTAGCTTATAATATTAAATATATTTTTTTTTTATTACAAGTAAAAAAAAATATTTTTCTTTTTATTTTTGATTTTAAATATTTATAATATTTTTTTTTTCACTTATTTAATTTTATACCTTTTACAATATAAATATAAAAATGTCTGAATTTGAAGCAAACAAATAAAAATAAATTGATGAAACTTAGCAAAAAGTTGAGAATATTTAGAAAATATAATAATAAAATGAAGATGGTTAAAACAATGATGATGAGACTAAATAAGAAGATGAAATAACATAAACTAATAATTAAGTAAAATTAAAATAAAATAAATTCTCAAATATAAATTATGTAAAAGTATACAGAATCTTCTAAAGTAAATCCCTATGAAGTAGGAGAAAACGGTAAAATAAAAAATAATAATTTGCAAATATTTTTAAAAAAATATCAATTGATAAGTTGATTATGATAAATTAATAAGTGAATTCGGATGTTAAAAAATATAATAAGAAATGATTGATAAGTAAAATAACTAAATAATAAATAGTTTAATAAAAATAATATAAAAAATTATAGGATTGAAAGATTAACAGGAAAAAAATGTCATCATTTCTTAAGAAGAGGTATTTTCTTTTCTCATAGAGATTTAGATATAATTCTTAATAAATATGAAAGAGGAGTTCCTTTTTATTTATATACTGGAAGGGGTATTATCACCAAACAAAACAAAAACAATTTTTTTTTTTTTTTTTTTTAACAAAAATAAAAAAGGACCTTCATCTGAATCTATGCATTTAGGACATTTAATGCCTTTTTTATTTACAAAATACTTATAAGAGGCATTTAATGTACCTTTAGTTATTTAATTAACTGATGATGAGAAATTTTTCCATAAAGGAGATTTTTCTTTAGAAGTATATTTTAATTAAAATAAAATAAAATAAAAATAAAAATAAAATAAATAGAAATATTAAAAATTAGCAATTGAAAATGCCAAAGATATAATAGCATGTGGATTTAATTTAGATTAAACTTTTATTTTTAGAGATACAGATTATATGGGATAAATGTATCCAAATGTTTGCAAAATATAGAAGGCAATAACATATAATTAAGTATTAAAATAAAAAAAATAAAAAATTTATATATATAAAAAAAAAAAAGTTAAAAGGTATTTTTGGAGTCTCTCCAAGTGATAATTGTGGAAAATTCGCTTATCCAGCAGTTTAGGCAGCTCCTTCTTTATCGACTTCTTTTCCTCATATATTTGGGAAAAGAAACGTATTATGTTTAATTCCTTAAGGAATAGATTAAGATCCTTATTTCAGAATGACAAGAGATGTTTAATATAAATTAAAAGTACCGAAATGTTGTTGTATACATAGTAAGTTCTTCCCTGCTTTGTAAGGATTTTAGACTAAAATGGGTTCTAGTAATCCTAATAGTGCTATTTTTTTAACTGATACTCCTAAGTAAATTGCTGATAAAATAAATAAGTATGCTTTTAGTGGAGGTAGAGCTACAAAAGAAGAATAGGAAAAATTAGGAGCAGATTTAAATGTAGATATACCTTACCATTATTTAAGGTTCTTTATGGAAGATGATGAAAGATTGGAATAAATTAGGATTGATTATGGAACTGGAAAAATGCTAAGTTCGAAAGTTAAGTAAGAGCTTATTAAAATTCTCACTGATCTTGTTTTATCACATTAGGTTTTTTTCTTTTTTTTATTTTTATATTATATTTTATATTAGGTAAGTAGAAAAAATGTTACTGATGAAATTGTTTATAATTATATGAAAGTTAGACCTATTAATGTTAATATTCCTCCAACATTAATTAATGATCCTTTACCTGAAGACACGACAAACAATTAAATTTAAAAAGGTACTTAATAAAAAAATAAAAAAGATTAAGAAAAAGACAAAGTAAAAAATAATTAAGAAAAGTGAATATTTTTTTATTTTCTTTTATTATTATATTGATTAATATTATTTTATTTTTAATTTTTTATATTAAATAAAATAAAAATCTAATGAAGAAAATTAATTTTCTTAAAAGATAAATAATTATTATTTATAAATATATTTTTCTAATACATAAATAGAGTTGGATAATAAAAAATAATTATATAATATTTTTATTTTTATTTCAAATAAAATACAAATTTAATTAAAATAAATTAAAAATTAAATATGAAATAAATAAAAAATATATTTAAAACTATTAAAACAATATACAATTCATAAAAATATAATGAGAATTTAAATATAAATATTTAGAATCAAGAAAATAATAAATATAAAGATAATAGTGATTATTTTGAAAAAAGAATAGACAATTTAGCTGACTTTTTATATTTTGGAGAAAAAGAAAATAATGAAGAAAAAAAATTATAGAATGAAAAATAAAATAAAATAAAAATTTTAAATAATTATCTAAAATAAGAAGAATATGAAAATTAATAAAGATTAAAAAATTTACATATAGATCCTATTACTTTATAAAGAAAAAAAATATAATAATAATAATAATAATAATAATAATAATAATAATAATAATAATAATCATCATCAAATATAAAATAAAAAGATAATTTAAGCGAAAAAGAAAATTAGAATATTGCAAAAGTAAATAAAATATATTTTTTTTTGCATTTTTAAAATATTAGATAACAAATGATTAAAAAATCTAACTTTATAATTTAGGATTTAATTTAGAATAAATTAATTTGTTAAATTATTAGGAAGCTGATTTATTAATAAAAAAATAAAGTTAAAAAAAAATATTTTTTAGAAATTGATAAAAATAATTTTTTAATAGATTATATTTATTTATTTTTTTAAACAAAAATTAATAATTTTTTTAAAAAATATAATTTTTTATATAATTCTAAATAATAAATAATTTTTTTTTTTATAAAAAATAAAAATTTATAATAATTATATAATTTTTTAAAAATTTTTAGTAAAATATATATAATTTGAATTTAATATAATATAATTATTTAATTAAATTAAGAAAATTTTATTTTCAAAATATTTTAAAAAATTTATAATTAAATTATTTTTTAATTTAATAAATTATAATATATTAAATTCTATTAGAATCTATGTTTTTCATTTAGTAATATTTTCTAGAATTCCAATATTTTTGTTGCATTAGTTATTATTAATTTGTTTAAAAATTTTTTATTCCTTATTATTAGTAAAATCACATTATTAAAAAATTATATTTTTTGTAGTCTTTTAAGTTTAACATCCTATTTAATTTTATCTTCTTTATAATATTGGAGAATTTTATATTGAAGAAGTTATCATTTAAGTAGAAAATTTATTTGAAAAAATTATAGCATTTGTATTTTCATTTCTAGGTGTAACATCTTCTTCTTCATTATATTATTGACTATTTTTTTTTTTTGTGTTATTAAAATACTTATTAACGTTTATTCTCAAAATATTCATATTGTTTTTATAAAGGACATATTATTTTAAGTTTTTAATTATCTAACCATTAATGAATTCTTTTTTCTAATTTGTTTCTATTATCTATAAATAATTCATTTTGAGAATTGTATAGTTATTATACTTCGTTTATTATGTTTTATTTAGGTGTAATTTTTTGAGGAGAATAATCATATTTTTCTTAAATTTCATTCAATTTAATCATTTTTTTATTTTTTTTCGAAAATAAATATTAGTATTTTTTTTTTTAAATAATAAAATTAAATAATATAAATATTATTATTTTTAATTTTTATAAATAAAAATATAATATTTATATTATAAATTTTTTTTATCTTTTTTATACTTTTTAAAATTTTTTAATCTGAAATACCACAAAATAATCAATTATATAAGAAATATCAAGTATATTTATAATAATTGATATTTTTTATTATATTTTGAAATAGATAAATTAAAAACAAGAACTTAATTGAAAAATCATAACGAAATAAATCAATTTAATTATATATTAATTTAATATTTATATATTAATAATTATTCTAGAGTATAATTTTATTTTAAATCTATTTAATCAACATAAATAATAAATTGGCTAACTTTATAGATATATTTTTTAATTATATTAAAAAAAAATATTTTTACTCAATTTTAATTATTAATTTTAAAATAAATAAAGATATTAAATATATATAAAAAAAATATATAATTATTTTTAAAGTCCAAAATTTATATTTTATAATAGAGACTATAGATTAATCAAAAAACAATACCTTATTATAAATATTATTATTTATTTTAGATCAAATTTATTAAAAATATATAACAAAATTAATTTAAGAAAAAAAAAAAATCTAAATAACATTAAAAATTCAAGTTATAAAAATATTAAATATAATAGTTTAATTAGAATATTTTTTATTTAAATAATTATTTTTTATATAAAATTATACATTAAATTTAAATATTTATATATTGTATTTGGAATTATTAAATTTAGTTTATATTTTCATTAAATTAAATAATATCTTAATTAATATTAATTTTAAATAAATATATTTATCAAATAATAAATATATCTATTTATCGGATCATAAATATTTTTATATTCCTCATTTTTCTTAATTAAATAAATATAAAATTTTTATTTTTAATATAAATAATTATAATATAATTATAAAGTAAAATTAATCATGATTTTTTTTTTTTTTTTTAATATAATATATATTTTTTTTTATAATTTTATTTTGTAAAATAAATAATAAATATAGATTAATTTATAGATATTAAAATAAATAAATAAAATAATGATGAATATAATAGAAATATATAAAAATAAATTATTAATTTATATTTTTAAATAAATTTAATAACAAAATTTTATATTATATATAATATATAAATATAAAATATTAGTTTAATTTATTATAGAGAATCAATAAATACAATATATAATTAGATATTTAAATTTATTTATAAAGAATTTAAATGTTATTAATTTAATAAATTATTTATTAAATTTAATTAATCAATAATATTAAAAAAAAAAAAACTAATTATATTTAAAATAATTCATTTTATATATATTAATTTATATATATATATAAATATAATTATAATATATAAATTAATATATATATAATATCTTTTATTTTATTTAATTTTCTATAATTTTTTATTTAAATTGAAACAATTTATTTTTGTTAGAAATTTAAATAAATTTATAGTTTTTTATTTTCTAAATTATTTTTTAAAATTATATTTATTTAAAATAAAACAATGTAATTATTTGATTTTAATATTTATTTATTATTTTTGAATATTATATTAATATTATTTCATTTAATATTATAAGTAAACTTTATTTTATAAATTTAAAATATTTAGTTTTTTTGATATTTTCTTTAATTAATATATATACAAAAATTAATAATAATGAATTAAATAATTTTAATAGAAATATATAATACTGAATTATTAATTGATAATATATAAAACTTTTAACCTAATTTTGTTATATGTTATGATAATTAAATAAAAAATAGTAGTTTAATTTAATATAGAGACCCATATAATGCTATATTTAATTAAATATTTGAATTTAATTATAAATAAGATTTAAATACAATTTTTTTCATATTCTTTCATAAGAATATCTAAGTAAAGTATTTATTTATTAAAAATAAATCATCTGTTTTATAAATTTATTTAATTTTAAAAAGATAGGGACATCAAATCTTCCTTTATTAAATATAAATGCATAATAATAAATAATAAAAAAACCAATTTTAGGAAACGATAAGGTAACAATAGGTTTTATATATTACAGATTTTAAATGAGAATTTTTAATTTTAACTAAAATCAGTTTGAATATAAATAAAACTAAATAGATTTGTATGAACAAGAATAAAATATTTAAAGTAAAAATAATAAAAATATGAATTAAGAATATTTTTTAAAAAAATATAAAAAAGTGAGAAACTCATATATAAATGAAAAAAAAAATGAAAAAATAATAATTTTAGAATAATAAATATAAAATTAAATATAAAAAAACAATTTGATGAAAAAAAATATTGAGGAAGAAAAAATAAGAATAAAAATAAAAAAATAAAGTATTAATTAATATAAGTATATAAACATATATATATAAATATATATATATATATATATATATTTATATATTTATAATATTTTATTTTATTTTTTTAAAAAAAAAGATTTGTTTGATAAAGAATAGATATTTAAAAATGATCTGATTTTAATCTAAGAATAATTAAATTAAGCAATAATTCAAAAACAATAAATTTAACAAAAAATAAATTAATTAAATAATTAAATCTAGGAAGAAAAAAGAGAAAATTCTAAACAGAAATTAATAAAAAAAATACTTGAGAAATAAAAAAACGCGAAATAAATAAAACTTGACGAAAAATCTAATTAACTAATATATATAAAATAAAAAATGGATGAATAAAAAAAAATAGTTTAAATTTTGAGGATATAAATAATATAAATTAAAAATTTAAAATAAAAAAATTACAGATAAAAAATGAAATAGAATTCGAATAAATATCAAAATCTTTTTCATTTTTTAATTAAAAATAAAAACCTTAACAAGATTTAAATAAATTAGAATAAAAAAAGCACTATTATGAATTTTTCGAGTAGTTTTTAAACGTATAAGACGAATATAATCATTTATTATAAATGGAATAGACTGTATAAGAAAAATTAAATAATTTATAAGAAATATTATATTAAGAAAATGAGCATAATTACAATATAATAACAGAAAATAATGAATAATAATAAAAAAAATATAATTAAATCCTAAATAAAATTTGATTTAAATTAAAGAGAAAACATTTTTCTCCTTTAAAAAAAGATTCTTAAAATATCATAGAATTTAAGACTAATATACCTTAATTATTTGAATAATATTTATAATTTTGAATGTTTTTTTTTTTTTTTTTTTTTTTTTCATAAAATATTATCTTTTTCATTTTCATTTTTAATTAATTATTTTTTTATTTAATTTATATTTTCGGAATTTTAATCTAAAATTTTTTTCAATTCTTTTGTTTCTTCGTCTAAATCATCACTTTCGAATCCTATATCAAGACAAATATTATCATTTTTAGTATTATTTTCATCTAAATCTGAAAAAGAAGTATTTTATATTGGATTTTTTTATATTTTTTCCTCTTATTCATAAATTTCGAGATTTAAAAGGAAAATTTATTTAATGAAATTTGCTTATTTATTATCTTTTTCCATTAAAAGTAGATATTTATTTAATTTATTATTTAAATTTTCATTTTCTTCTTTTATTTTTTTTATGTTTAAAAGTTCTTTTTATATATCTTCGTTTTCTTCTTTTATATTTTCAAAGTCTTTTTTTAAATTTAAATTTTCGTAAATTATTGCTTCCAGTACTTCTTCTAAATAAAGAAGAGTGTTTTTTTCGTTCTCAATATCGTTTTCTATTTCTTAATATTTGTCCTCTGGAATAGATAACAATAGGTCAGATTAATGGACTAAATCTCCTATTTTTTTCGCAAATCTATCCTTATATGAAGCTGTTTAGGGTCTTTTTATATTATTTATGTATTATTGGGGCATTTAGGAACCATTTAGATTAGATATTTATAAATATGTGGCTATTTTTTCTTTTCTAAAAGCTGAAGAAAGATCAAAATCAACTTATGTAATGGTTTCTCCGTCAATTTTTTCTAATATTAATGTCCATAGTATATCATATTTATAATTAAAACGTTTACTTAAAGGATTTTAATCTAATTCGAGTTCTTTTAAGTTAGGAAGAAGAGCCAATTCATTTAATGTTTCATTCAAATCTTTTATTTTATTATTCGAAAGTGTTAATGTTTGTAAATTTTTTAAAACATAAAGACCTTTTATTGATTATATTTAATTTTAGGAAAGATAAAGCTTTTTTAATTAGATGTGATGATATATAGGAGAAATATCAATAATATTGTTATATTCTAAGTTTATTTCTAATAAATTTATATTTGGTATTGAAGAAATTCCTTCAATATTTGATATATAATTATGAGTTAGAGATAAATATTCAAGATTATTTAATAAACTAAGATCTATTTATATATAAATAAGTATATATATAAATATATATATATATATATATATATTATATATATAATATATATTTATATATATATAAATTTAAATAAAAACCTAATTTTTCAGTATTTTTAAAAAAAAGGAGATTTTTTTCTCTTAACACTAGTATATTGATTTCTTACAAGTCATTATTTCCAGTTTGATTAATTATTTATTACTAATCTAGAATTTCTAGTGTTTATTATTTTTATAATAATTCATTTTTTTTATCTTTTTATGGACTTTTTTATATTTTTTACTCTATATTTTCATCATCGTCGCTGTTTTCGAATGATAAATTAAAATTTAAAAGTGCTTTTTCTGCATCAAGCTTTTCGTCTTTGAGTTTTTGGAAAATTATTTCTTAGTTTTTTTAAATATTGCTGTTTTTTCTCAAGGGATTTTTTAATTGAATATTTTCTTATTGATTTTATTATTGTAATTCATTATTTGTAGATATAGTAGTTGAAGTTGTGCTGTTAAATGAATATGATGATAATCGCATGTTTACTATGTTTTGGGTATTGGTGATTTTTTAGGCTTTTTGGATTACTGGGTGAAGTTTTTTCATACTACGAATTAATTATTATTCTTTTTTTTAAATTTATGGAAGGTTTGATTTTATTTAAGTGTGCATTCTATATGTATGTTCTTCTAAACGGTTTTCTGTGTCGAAAATTCGACCACAATCGGGTCGGGTACATATGAATTTAGTTTATTGAATTGTTTATTACATTTTAATTTTTTTAAACAAAAAAATTATTATTAATAAATTTATATAATTAAATGTTTTTTTTTTAACAAAAAAAATTTTTTGTTTATTTTTTTAATTATTTATAATTTTCTTTTTAAAGGTTATTGTAAATTAACAAAAAATAAGTAAAATTATTAAAATTAAAAATATAAAAAAGTATTAAATAGTAGAAATGAATAAATTAGAAATTATATATTTTTTTTATTAAAAAAATAATAATTTATTTTATTTTATTTTATATTAATTTATTTAGTTTTTTTTTTTTTTTTTTTAATTATATGAAAAAATATAAATTTTATATTTATAAACAAATTATTAAAATATATATATATATATATATATATATATATATATATATATTTATTATTTATTTATATTTAAAAAACATAAAATAAATTATAATATTAATCTTTATCTTTTATCCAATAATATTTTAAATTAAAAAATGATTTATATATTTATGAATATTTATGTAAATTAAAATTCATATTTATTATTTTTAGAATAATTTTATTATATTCAATATTTTTTTTTTTCAATTAATTAAAATTTTCAATAATATTAAAGATTTAAGAAACAAAATAATATTTAATTTATTCTTTTATATTTTTATGAAATATAAAATCTTATAAAGGATTATAAAATTAATTTAATTCTTAATAATCTATCATTAATATTCACTCTAATCAAAATTATAAAATATAAATTAAAAATAAATTCTTGTCTTATATTTCAAATATATATTATTTAAATATATAATTTGTAAAACTAATCTTTTGAAATTTTATATAAAAAAAATCTTATAATCATATTTTATATTAAATAAAATATTTATTAGTATAAAATGTATATAGTTATGATTATTAGAATAAAAAATATTGTAAATATTTATATGTAAAACGAAAGTTTATAAAATATGAAAAATATAAAATAAAAAATAAGGTTAGAAAAAATTTTAAATAAATTTATTTGTATTTTAT